GGTGCTGGAGCTGCCGGACCAGGTGGTACTGCTGGTGCTGGAGGTGCAGGAGGTGCTACTGGAGCTGCTAGCATAGGAGGTACTGGAGGTACTACTGGTGCTGGAGGCGCTGGAGCTGGAGCTGGAGGCACTGGAGGTGCTGGAGGTACTACTGGTGCTCGAGGTACTGGCGCTGTCGGAGCTCGTGGTGCTGGAGGTGCTGGTGCTACTGGTGCTGGAGGTCTTGCTGGGGGTACTGGAGGAGCTGCTCGTGCTGGAGGTACGGGAGCTACTGGTGCTCTTCGCCACCTTCTCAGTCTTCCGCCAGGTGCTACTGGCTTCCCTGTGGCAGGTACTACTCCTCCGTTGCTGTGTCCGCCAGCGGACCAGTCACAGCCACCGCTGCTACCACACTCCCCACTGCCTGCTCCTGCTCCTTACACTGCGGTGTCAGAGTCCCTGACTGAGCGTCGAGAGCCTGAGACTCGTGCTTCCACCCCTGAGCGTCGAGAGCCTGAGTCTAGCTTTGACCTTGAGCCTGAGCCTAGAGCTGCTGTCCGTGCTCGTGTTCCTCGTGTTCGTCGTCCGCGTGCTCCGACTGTCCCCGGCACTCACGATATGACACTCCGTCCTTCCTCTGTTCCTCAGCGTGTTGTACTACCGTTACCTCCTGCGTCCTCTCTGCCTGACGTTGCTGACCCTCCGTCTGACCTTGCTCGTGCGTCCAGTCCGACTGTTACTCGCCTTCTTGCTACGGTTGTGACGGACCCTACGTTCTCGTCTTCTGCTGCGTCTGCCCTAGTAGCTGAGCTTGTTGACTTTGCTGCTGTGTACCGCCTAGACTACCTTGCGAGTCTTGTCTCTGACCCTGTCCCTGCCTGTCCTCCGTCCGTCGGGGGTGAGACTGCTCTTGGCTGTACTGCCCTTGGCTGTGACGTTCTTGAGGACAGACAGGAGGAGCTGGAGTGCCTTGCTGCCACTTCACCCCATCACGCGACCATGCTGCTTGCCCCTGAGGGAGACCCGGATGCACTTGACATCCCCACCCCGCGCTCCTACAGGGAGGCGATTTTGGGTGAGTACTCCTCTCAGTGGCAGACAGCCATGGACGCAGAGATGGCTTCCTGGAAGTCCACAGGCACCTACGTCGACGAGGTTCCCCCACCTGGGGCGAACATCCTCAGTGGCATGTGGATTTTCAGGGTGAAGCGGCCGCCGGGTTCTCCGCCTGCCTTCAAGGCACGTTACGTTGCTCGAGGCTTCAGTCAGCGTGAGGGGGTCGACTTCTTTCCGACCTTCTCCCCCACCCCGAAGATGACCACTCTTCGGGTGTTGCTACACGTTGCAGCTCAGCGTGACTACGAGCTGCACTCCCTCGACTTCTCGACAGCTTTCTTGCAGGGTAGCCTTCACGAGGCCATCTGGTTGCGCCGTCCACAGGGCTTCACTGGGTCGTTTCCTGAGGGTACCCAATGGAGCCTACGGCGACCAGTGTACGGCCTGCGTCAGGCGCCCCGTAAGTGGCACGACACACTGAGGACGACACTTGCGGCTCTTGGGTTTGCTCCTTCGACTGCTGACCCGTCGCTGTTTCTACGCACCGACACTACTCTGCCGCCGTTCTACATCCTCGTGTACGTCGACGACTTGGTTTTTGCTACTGCTGACACTGAGGCACTGGCCCTAGTGAAGGCGGAGCTGTAGGAGAGACACACCTGCACTGACCTGGGTGAGCTGCGGAGCTATCTTGGCTTGCAGATCACCCGGGACAGACCACGGCGCACCATCACCCTCACTCAGTCACACATGGTGCACCAGGTCCTTCAGCGCTTCCGCTTCACTTGGTCCTCGCCACAGCCCACCCCTCTGTCTACCGGCCACTCGCTCTCAGCTCCACCTTTGGACGAGTCCGTAGAGCCGAGTGGTCCGTACCCAGAGCTTGTGGGTTGCCTCATGTACCTGATGACGTGCACACGACCTGACCTCGCGTACCCTCTCAGCCTCCTGGCTCGCTACGTGGCACCTGGTCGACACCGAAAGGTGCACTTTGATGCTGCGAAGAGGGTACTGCGTTACTTGTGCAGCACATCGGGCATGGGGCTCGTGCTTGGAGGACGGGGTTCGGTGGTCCTCACAGGACACTCTGACGCTTCTTGGGCCGACGACCAGACAACTCAGCGTTCGTCACAGGGTTACACCTTCAGTCTTGGCGCTGGTTCTGTCTCGTGGAGGTCCACTCGTTCTTCTTCTGTGCTTGGTTCCAGCTGTGAGGCCGAGATCTACGCTGGGGCCATGGCTGCACAGGAGCTACGCTGGCTGACCTACCTGCTGACCGACTTGGGGGAGCGGCCTCGTTCTCCTCCAGTTCTGTACGTCGACAACAAGGCAATGCTTTCCTTGTGTCGCGAGCAGAGACTGGAGCACAGAACGAAGCACATTGCTCTTCGCTACTTCCTTGCGCGTGAGCTGCAGCAGCGTGGTCAGCTGCGCCTTGCTTACGTGGCCTCTCGGGCCAACACTGCTGATGTCTTCACCAAGGCCCTTGGGGCTGGTGATCATCACCGTTTCTGCACTGCTCTTGGGCTTGTGCCCACTCTGCCTCACCTGTTGGTTGCTTGACTTGCTCTTGTTGTACATTGCTATATATCTTTATACCTGCATGTTTTCTCTTGCTAGGTTGTGATCAGTGTACTGCCTTGCTATTATATACCTCTGCATGTGAACTGGCCTTGTGGCCACTTGCTTGTGCTCAGAATGCGTGGTGACTTTGTGATCCACCCTGAGCTGTGTTCTCTTCTGCAGACTGGTCTTGTGACCGCTTGTTGTGTTTGCTGTCCCCTACTTTGCCTATGGGGGTGTGTCAGATTACAATTGTATCTCTAGGCTACAGTAGGGTCACTCCTTAGTGAGTACAACACTTTAGGGTTAGGTTTCCCTTACTTGTACTCACCTCTTGCCTAGTCCAATCCATCATTCCTAGTTCTATTCTTAACAGTCCACTAGATTAGACTGTTTTCTACCTACTAGCCATTGTGATCCCTTCCATATATTTTGCAAGATACCAGCGTTCCAACCAGGGTCCTCGCTATCAGACATTTTTGTCAGTTTGTCTGAGTTTCCAGACGGTTTTTTTCCAGTTAATCTGATTTTCAAGAAATGGATTTTCTTATCATCTGATTGAGTATAAATGATTTTTTGTCTTCATCTGATTCGTCAGAGTGTAATCTATGTTTCGTCTGAAACCGAAACGTGTTAGAGTACGGGGATTTCCCGCAGAACAGGGCGAATCTGTTGTCAAAGCGAATCTGCCGTGTTGTGTAAGTTCGAATCTCTTGTGTCAGGACGAGTTTTCTGTGATTGGACGAACATGTTGCCCTCTGACGTCGCGAATCTGCCATGTCAGAGAAAATTTGCTCTGATTGGGCGAATATTTTGTGCTCTGACAGGGCGAATCTGCCGTGTTAGGGCGATATTGCTGAGACCAGTGAAGTCCGAATCACACCAGTGTGTACTTCGAATGAATGTGACAGGTCAAGGAAAGTCAGACTCAACTTTTTATCCCACGTGCATCTACACGCTAGAAACTCTATTTTAATTGGTCAGACAAGTTCTTTTGAAATTTCTGATGCATCAGACAAGCAAAGGCAAAATATCTGATGCGTCAGACGGGCCCGAAGGGCCCGTCTGACGCATCAGGGGGGTTCAAATCCTAGCGAGGACCCTGGTTCCAACTCTGTCTGGTACGCTCCCTACATGTGTGCATACGCGGATATCCTCTCCCGGATATCATATCCCGTCTCCCGAATATCATCTCTCGAATATCATCTTCAGGATAGCATCCCCCATATATCCTCTCCCGGATATCCTCTCCCGGATATCCTCTCCCGCATATCCTCTCCCGGATATCCTCTCCCGCATATCCTCTCCCGGATATCATCGCCCGGATATCATCGCCCGGATATCCTCTCCCGGATGTCCTCGCCCGGATATCCTCGCCCGGATTTCCTCGACCGGATATCCTCTCCCGGATATCATCTCCCGGATATCCTCTCCTGGATATCATCTCCCGGATATCATCTCCCGGATATCCTCTCCCGGATATCATCGCCCGGATATCCTCACCCGAATATATCCTCTCCCGGATATCCTCTCTCGAGCATCCTCTCCCGAATATCCTGTCCCGGATATCCTCTCCCGGATATCAAATTTCAGATATCATCTCCCAAATATCATATCCTGTCTCCCGAATATCATCTCCCGAATATCATCTTCAGGATAGCATCCCCCAGATATCCTCTCCCGGATATCCTCTCCCGGATATCCTCTCCCGGATATCCTCTCCCGGATATCCTCTCCCGGATATCTTCTCCCGGATATCCTCTCCCGGATATCTTCTCCCGGATATCCTCTCCCGGATATCCTCTCCCGGATATCTTCTCCCGGATATCCTCTCCCGGATATCCTCTCCCGGATATTCTCTCCCGGGTATCATCTCCTGCCGTGGAGCCATGTCCTCAGCACCTGTTTAAGCACAGCCGCACTGTCGTTCGTCTACTATAGCTTCATTGATGCTCGGTGGCTTGTCCCCCAGCCTCAAGGAGCTGGGAACATGTCTCACCAGCCGGACTACAGAGTGAAGTTTGATCAAGTTCCACCAGCCCCAACATACCCTTACACTTGCTATTTGGGTATGGTAAGTTCTAAGGCTTTGAGATATGATGTATTGTTCCTGATGTGGCTTTGGTTTGCACAACAAACTGTATACAGCCAATTCATACATGTCGGAAGATGACACGGGCTGTGTTGCAGGAAGACGAAGTCAGGGATGCACAAGGAGATGGTGTGACACTGCAGCACAGAAGGTAGAGGAGCAGTGGAGTTGGTGATGGTGGTTTCCCCCACACCAGCCGACCACCGTTTCCATCAGCACTGCATCAAGCAAGGTATAGGGCACCTAGACAGGCCATGGAAGTAGGTTCCTCCAGATATTCCTTGGGTGAGCCTCTGATTATTCTGGTGCGCTATGCAAGAGCCAGGAGCCTTCTCGCTGCAGCACAAGCAGGCAAAGGAGCGCCGCACAGTCCCGTGTTCCCAGGAGTGAAGGACGCCACGGCGAAGGCAGCCCACTGGGAGGGAAGCGGGCCAGACAGGTCGTTGCCCTGCAAGTGCACCTCGTGCAGCCCATCTAGCTGGCCCAGCGCGGCGGGGATGGGGCCGTGCAGGTGGTTGGAGGCGAGGTCCAGCACCTCCATGCTGCGCATGCCCGCCAGCGACGCAGGGATGCTGCCCGACAGGTTGTTGTGCGCCAGTGAGAAGTTGCGCACCTCGGCCAGGTGGCCGAGCGCGGAGGGGATGGCGCCGGAGAAGGAGTTGTTGGAGAGGTCGAGCTGGTACAGCGTGTCCTTGCAGCCGGCGAGGGAGGCGGGGATGGCGCCGTGCAGCTGGTTGCCGCCCAGGTAGAGCGCCATCAGCCCCTGCTTCGCACAGCTGAACGCCGACGGCAGCTTGCCTGGCGTGTGGGGCCGGTGGAGGGTGTGGGCGGTGGAAGGGAAGGAGGGGAGAAAGGAGGACGGGAAGTGAGGGGGGAGAAGGACCAAGGGGATTGACGGAAGGAGTGAACTGAAAGGACTGTTGAAGTTGTGGGTGGGGAGGGGAAGACGGCGCAAGTGGGAGATGTACAAGTGATGTATGGGAGGGAAGGGAAGAGAATGGGCAAGGGGGTGGGAAAAGATTCCTAACCTGTCAGTCGGTTTCCGTCGAAGAGGATGCTCCCAAGGCTCGGCGCGTTTGCGAGGGCGGACGGCAGGGAGCCCGTGAGCTGGTTGTTGGAGGCGCCGATCTGCTGCAGCTTCGGCAGCGACCCGAACGCGGACGAGATGCCCCCCGTGAACTCGTTATCGGATAGCTCGATATAGATGGCTTCTGTCAGTGTAGCGAAGCGGGAAATGCTGCCTGTGAACGCGTTTATGCCCAAATCGAGGACTTGAAGGGTGTCTGATAGGCCCGTGAAGAAAGTCGAAGGGATGTGGCCCGATAAGCCGCAGTCCGCCATAATAAGAGCTTGTATCGAGTCAAGATTATTAAAGCTGCCGGGAATCCCACCAGTGAACTGGTTCACTGTTATATCGAGGTACTCTAAACGGGGGAGGCGGCCGAGGGCGGAAGGAAGCGCGCCGGAGAACTTGTTGGCGCGGAGGTCGAGCGACACGAGCGACGACATGGCGGATACCGTGCTTGGGATCGGCCCCGACATGCTGTTCACCCCCACGGAAAGGGATGTCAGGGCTGTCGCGAAACGGAAAACATTTCCGGGCAGTCCGCCAATCAGCTGGTTGTCGCTGACGTCAATCAACTCAAGGTCGGGCAGTTTGAAAATCTGTGAGGGCAGGCTACCGGTCAGGAGGTTCGAGAAGAGCGAGAGGGAGTGGAGGCCGACGAGTGCTGACATGATCTCTTTCAACTGCCCAGTTAGCCTGTTCTGCGCCAAGTTCAGCACGCTTAGTTTCGTCAGGAGGCTAAGTTCGTCGGGAATGTCGCCCGAAAACTGGTTACCATCCAGCTCCAGCCGCTCCAATTGGTCCAGATTTCCGAGATCCGATGTAAGCTGTCCCTCTATGAACATCTGCGACAGGGTAATCGAAGAGACGCGGTCTGGTTCCGTCCCACTGCAAGACACGCCATTAAACGCGCAAGCGTTGGGGCCGTAAATCCACGTGTCAAGCGCACCGAGCGAGTCGTTGGTGACGGCGGCCTTGAAGGCGAGAAGCGCCGCGACATCTGTGGCGGGAATTCCGGCAGCGGCCGCGGGGCGAACAGCGGCGAGAGCGCAGAGGATGACGGCGCAAAGGCGCGGGAGTGCGGAGAGGGGAGCGTGAGGGCGCGGCATGGCGGCGCAGGGGGAGGCGGAAAGGGCAGATGTTCTCCGCAAAGCTGACCCAGCACGGCCGCAGCAGAGTGCGCAGTCAGGTAAACACCGCGAGGGCGGCAAAGCCCCGACGATGCCGTGAGGACGCTAAGGGGGATGAACTCCAAGGCCGTAGGTAGAAAGAGCACTCGGGAGTGGATGGGACGAAGAGAACAATCACTCAAGAAGATGAGCGGCGTGGATGAAGCAATGGAAATAGACGAGGTGGGGACTAAGGAGATAGTGTTGGAGAAAGCGAACTAAGCGACGATGCGGCAATCAGAAACGAACTCTGCAGGTAAAAGCTCCCGATGTCTCGCAAGCCGGTGCCTTGTGCTATAAGTAGAGGCTGCGGCCGGCCTAGATAATACTCGGAAAAAGGGGCAAAGGATTCACAAAACAGTTTGGGACGGGGTCCTGGCGATAAGGATGGGCGACGAATGGAGCAGCGACATACACCTGGCAGGAGATTAGGCAACAACTGCGGCGCGGCGCATCGCTGGGAGTGAGGATGTGGTGGAGGGGAAGAGCAAAAAGGTGACGATGGGAGTGAGGATGTGGTGGAGGGGAAGAGACTACGTTCCGCGTGTGCCAGGAAGCCTTGTTTTTACAATCTAGATCGCCCTGATTGGAAATTGGACGATCTCGACTGCATGAACTCTACCACAAGGCTGCTTCTCCAACACGGGTCTCGTGGATTTGCGCCGAGCGTTGCTGGCTGGAAGCACAGGAAATGTGTGAAACGTAACCTGCCTGGAGCGTCCCTTCTTTCATACCCCTCGTTGACGACAGATTCTCTATTTGGAGAAAAATGAGGAACACGTCGCGTCGCGTGCCCTGGGAATAGCGCAATCTCCGCTTCAGGCAAACAACATGGCGGGAAAGCTAGAATTCTGTGGACTTGCGTGAGTCACGGTGTCTCCTGGCTCCTGAGGAATTTCGGAGCTGTACATGAACTGCTGAACAATCTCATAGAGACTATTCTTGTGTATCAGCAAAGCACCGCCGTTATAAACGTTAGCGGATGCGCTCTTTAGCAGAAAGTGCAAAGCTGCAAATATCCTCATATTACCTGTGTACAGAAGGTGGTTTGTTATGCGAAAGTGGTAACTTGCAAAAATGCGTCATCAGAGTCATCACCCACATGCTTGGCTCCACGACATCCATCCGCGTTTCTGGGCAGCACAATGCCAAAATCCCATCTCACTAGCATGGGCTGAGCAGTGCCATCAGTTGCGGGAGTTAGCCAAGAAACATGTGTTATGGCAAAGCGGTTCGTTTACATTTTGAAACGGTTAGCTACGTTCATAAACAGTCGTGTCACCCCCAAGCACAAGCACAGTACCAAAGCCCGCCTTCAACCCCACACCTCACAATACCGCAAGGCCCACTATACTCCACGGGCCGCGAGCTTTCACCTCAGGGCGCGCCTCCTTCTGTCTGCTGCTCGCCCGTAAACAAGCGCTGCCCTTTTAGTTTCGCTCGTATACGCGGGCCGCTAGGCAGTTCCGCCTTTTTCCTTTCGTCTTTCGTCTAGGCCTGCTAAAACTGCCCCCACTTCCTCAGCGTTTAGCTATGGCACACGCGGGTAATGCCACGTCAGCCTCTGACGGCAGCAACTGGGCTGCGCTCCTGCTGGCCGCAGGATCCGGCGCCGTGGTGGCGGCAGCCGCGTCGTACTACTTCCATTCGCAAGCGCTCGCGAAGTTCGCCGAACAGGATGGCAAGGTGCGTTTTGTGAATCTCGCAGCCTTGAAACGAAGGACGCGCTCTTCCTCTTAGGCTTCAGGACTGGAAAATTATTCAGCCTTTTCTAGGCACCTGAACTTTTCCAGGTCCAATGTTGTTGATGGAGCAAGTCAGACGAGTCGTCTTGAAGGTCGTAGTGGGATCTGCGTGAACGAATCTGCCCATCCGGAGTCACACCCAGGGATCTTCTCATGTCCATCGCATGCGACCGTCGCCTCTTGGCATGCGACCGTCGCCTCTTGGCATGCGAGCTTCCGACCATGGCACCACCACCACCCTACCTCGTTGCTCATCCCAACGCAACTCCTTGTTGTCATGCCTACTCCCTTTCCCCTCGCCCTGCTCCGTACTCGCGCGTTTTTCCCGCCCGTTCCCCTCCTCGACCACTGCCGCCCTTCCGTGTGTGACCCCACCCGCTGCTGCGCGCCAAGCCGTTGCCCTAACCCTGGTGTTCTTGCGCCCCCCACCCGTCTCTTTTTCGCCATCCCGCCCTCCCCCCCCCCCCCCCCCCTCGCAGCTGAAGCCGCAGAAGATGCGCAAGGTGACGACCGCCCCTGCGCGCCGAGCTGCGCCCACCCCGGGCGTGCCGCTGCGCCCGCAGCAGCGGAGCCATCGAAACTCCCAGTCAAACGCCGCCAATCCCTACGCCTTCGACCCGCTCGCGGGCAGTTTCAGCCCGGGCAGTCTGCCCGGAAAACTGGCGTCCTCGCTGGACCGGCAGGACATGCAGGCTCTCAGCGCCGCGCGGCTGGCGGCGGCGAACGCGTCGGCTGCAGTGGCGTCGGGGCTGCGAGAAGGTGCGTGCGCTCCCGCCGCCGTCGCACGCCCATCGCGCCGCCGTGTGGCTGTGCGCGAGGCCCATTCATCCGCGAGAGGGCGGAGTGCTTTCAAGAACGTAGGAGGGGCTCGCGCAAATGGTTTCTTCCTGGCCAGCTCCGCGCATCCCCTGCAAGCGGCCCTCGTGCACAGTTAGCGCGCACTTCCTTGGTGGCGGGTGGATCATAACGAATGACGCTCGTTTCACCGCCTCGTGCTCTGGTGAATGCGTCCCCTGCCCAAAACCCCCCTCCCTCCCTCGTTCCCTCCCTCACTCCCTCCCTCCCTCCCTCCCTCCCTCCCTCCCTCCCTCCCTCCCTCCCTCCCTCCCTCCCTCCCTCCCTCCCTCCCTCCCTCCCTCCCTCCCTCCCTCCCTCCCTCCCTTTCCTTCCCCCGTTCCCTCAGGCAATTTCCAAAGTGACCTGCTTCCGCCGCGCTCGGTGAGCGCGCACTCGTCGGTGGTGGGGGGGGGGATGGGCGTGGAGGAGGCGGAGGAGGAGGCGGAGGAGGAGGACATGGGGGAGGAGGGGGAGGAGGTGATGGTGGAGGAGCTGGGGGAGGGGGGGGAGGGGGAGGGCGGGGAGGGCGCGGAGAAGGAGGCGGAGGGGCGGGGGGAGGCGCGGGTGAAGAGGGCGGTGAGCGTGCAGGACAGCATTCACCACCCGGTGTCTGACCCGGGCACAGCTGACAGGCTTAGGAAGGCGCCAGAGGTGGAGGACTACGTGCGCCTCAACCTCTACCCGCAAGGTGCATACACTGCCTTCCCTCCCTTCTGTGCTCTACCACCCGCCCTCTGTCGCCCCCCCCCCCCTCGCGCTTTTCGCGCTTGTCACTTGAGATGTGCATGTGGCTCTCCTCTTCCTCACCATCCCTTCCCCCACCCCCACCCCCCCCTTCGTGCTACTCGCCGGGCAGACATGCCGAGCACGGAGGACGAGGAGGTGTGTGTGTTGCTGCAGGAGTGTCTGCAGCTGAGGGACAAGTACGTGTTCAGAGAGGCCGTGAAGCCCTGGCATGCCGACGCCAACGCACTGCCCATGCCCGACCCCAGCGACCCCTTCCGCTACGACCCGCTCCCGCCCTCCGATGTGAGCCACCCCCTCCCACCCTCCCATGACGCTACCGTTGGATTCGAGCAGGGTTATCATAGTGTGCGGCTTAGAAGCAAGGCCCTTGAAAGAGGCTGTGGCCCCAAACCCATGGCATTAAGGCGCCAACACCCTCCGCATGCCACCCCAGCAACCCCTCCACCTGCGAACCCTTCTCTGTGCTGCAGCCTTTGATGTGAGTCTCTTTCTTGAGAACGTAGATTTGCGAAAATTGTGAAGCGACAGTGTTTAGAACCGAAATTGGTGTAAAATGCTCAAATCATTTTGATTCTTGGGTGTCTCTCCTTGCACTGTGCATGGTGCTCTTGTGGTGTGCCCCCTGCCATGGCATGGCAGCATGTGATAGAGATGGTGGATGGTGTGGTGAAGATATTCGCAGATAAGGACGGTGAGTCAGTGACATGCTTCACTGATGCCGGTTCGTTGTATAGTGTGTTCAGCAGTTTGTGCAGCAGCGTTTGCAGTAGTGCACCATGCCGCCACTTTCTTTGTCGCGCATTGCTCTGGTATTCTCTAAGCATCACATGCGATTGCAATGCCACATCATCTCCCTCTACCCCCCACCCCTGCCAGCCAAGGAGCGGGGAGAGGAGCTGTTCCCAGTGCACGACGCCACAACGTTCTTCACCGATCTGCACCGCATCCTCAAGATCACCTCCCTGGGCCACGTGCGCTCCCTCTGCTTCCACCGCCTGCGCCTCCTCGAACAGGTCAGCCGGCCCACCACTGAGGTCAGCGCTCCAAGCACACACATGGAAGCAGCACCCGCAGCTCCATTATGGGTGCGTGGCTGTGCGCCTGTGTTGCTTACTGCTTCCTGCTGCTGCTGGGGCAAGTGGGGGATGGTGCGATTGTTTGGGAGAGTGCGTTGGGGTTGCATGGCCGGCCCAGCACGGGCTGTGAGTCCTCTGTGTTTAAGGTTTCAGGTTTTATGTGCGCCACCAACCTTTATGTTCCCATTCTCTCCCCCGCTGCCCATTCTCTCCCCCGCTGCCCATTCTCTCCCCCGCTGCCCATTGTCTTCCCTTCCTCACCCCTCCCTCTCCCCCCCCCAGCGGTACCACCTGCACCTGACGCTGAACGCGGATCGCGAGTTCAAGGCGCAGAAGAGCGCGCCGCACCGCGACCTGTACAACGTGCGCAAGGTGGACACGCACGTGCACCACAGCGCCTGCATGAACCAGAAGCACCTCCTGCGCTTCATCAAGTCCAAGCTGCGCAAGGAGCCCGATGAGGTCAGCGCAGGGGTGGTGGGGGGGTTGAAGGGTTGGGAGGTGGGGGAGTGGGGGAGTGGGGTGGGGACAGGGCGAGGGTGGGGGAGCGGGGTTGACATGAAATGGGCGGCATGGGGCGTGCAGCCATAAGTTTCGTTAAGCCATGGGTTTCACTCATTCATTCATGCCTGCGTGCGTGCCTGCCTGTGCTCGTCATGAATGCGTGGTGTGTGGCCAGGTGGTGATCTTCCGTGACGGCAAGTACCTCACGCTCAAGGAGGTGTTTGAGAGCCTCGACCTCACCGGGTCAGTGCCAGTCCGCCGCAACCCCTCTCACCGACCCGCTTGAACTCAGTCTCACCCCTCTGGGTGCACGTTCATGCAGTCAATCACGTCCCTCTCATTCCCTCTCGAATGGTCCTTCGTATTAATAAGCAACATGCATACAAGGTTGAGGGTGAGGTACATCACCTTACATCCCCTTTCGTTATCACGTCCCTCTCCCCCCTTACCCTCTTCCCAACCTCCCCTCCCCCATCCCCCCCTACCAGCTACGATCTGAACGTGGATCTGTTGGACGTGCACGCGGACAAGAACACGTTCCACCGCTTTGACAAGTTCAACCTCAAGTACAACCCGTGCGGGCAGAGCCGACTGAGAGAGATCTTCATCAAACAGGACAACCTCATCCAGGGTCAGATGCCCCATCCACCATCTCAACAGCTCACAGTTCTGAGAGCGTTCTTCCGTCAAACCGCCCTACAGTTGCGCATACACTTTATGACTTGCCTTTCCTGCCCCCCTTGCTACTTGTCTCTTTCCCTCTGATGTCATTCCCCTCCTTACCTTCATCCCTCCTTCCTCCCCCTCCACCTCCTCTCTCCCTATTGCCCCTTTCCCTACGCCACACCCTTTTTCCGGCATCTCCCTCTTGCCCCCTCATCTTGTGCGCGTGTCTCGTCTCTCTATCCACCAACCTCACCACCTTCCAGGAAGGTTCTTGGCGGAGGTGACAAAGGAGGTGTTCACGGATCTTGTGGCATCCAAGTACCAGGTGAGGGCGGCAAGGCATCCAAGTACCAGGTGAGGGCGGCAAGGCATCCAAGTACCAGGTGAGGGCGGCAAGGCATCCAAGTACCAGGTGAGGGCGGCAAGGCATCCAAGTACCAGGTGAGGGCGGCAAGGCATCCAAGTACCAGGTGAGGGCGGCAAGGCATCCAAGTACCAGGTGAGGGCGGCAAGGCATCCAAGTACCAGGTGAGGGCGGCAAGGCATCCAAGTACCAAGTGAGGGCGGCAAGGCATCCAAGTACCAGGTGAGGGCGGCAAGGCATCCAAGTACCAGGTGAGGGCGGCAAGGCATCCAAGTACCAGGTGAGGGCGGCAAGGCATCCAAGTACCAGGTGAGGGCGGCAAGGCATCCAAGTACCAGGTGAGGGCGGCAAGGCATCCAAGTACCAGGTGAGGGCGGCAAGGCATCCAAGTACCAGGTGAGGGCGGCAAGGCATCCAAGTACCAGGTGAGGGCGGCAAGGCATCCAAGTACCAGGTGAGGGCGGCAAGGCATCCAAGTACCAGGTGAGGGCGGCAAGGCATCCAAGTACCAGGTGAGGGCGGCAAGGCATCCAAGTACCAGGTGAGGGCGGCAAGGCATCCAAGTACCAGGTGAGGGCGGCAAGGCATCCAAGTACCAGGTGAGGGCGGCAAGGCATCCAAGTACCAGGTGAGGGCGGCAAGGCATCCAAGTACCAGGTGAGGGCGGCAAGGCATCCAAGTACCAGGTGAGGGCGGCAAGGCATCCAAGTACCAGGTGAGGGCGGCAAGGCATCCAAGTACCAGGTGAGGGCGGCAAGGCATCCAAGTACCAGGTGAGGGCGGCAAGGCATCCAAGTACCAGGTGAGGGCGGCAAGGCATCCAAGTACCAGGTGAGGGCGGCAAGGCATCCAAGTACCAGGTGAGGGCGGCAAGGCATCCAAGTACCAGGTGAGGGCGGCAAGGCATCCAAGTACCAGGTGAGGGCGGCAAGGCATCCAAGTACCAGGTGAGGGCGGCAAGGCATCCAAGTACCAGGTGAGGGCGGCAAGGCATCCAAGTACCAGGTGAGGGCGGCAAGGCATCCAAGTACCAGGTGAGGGCGGCAAGGCATCCAAGTACCAGGTGAGGGCGGCAAGGCATCCAAGTACCAGGTGAGGGCGGCAAGGCATCCAAGTACCAGGTGAGGGCGGCAAGGCATCCAAGTACCAGGTGAGGGCGGCAAGGCATCCAAGTACCAGGTGAGGGCGGCAAGGCATCCAAGTACCAGGTGAGGGCGGCAAGGCATCCAAGTACCAGGTGAGGGCGGCAAGGCATCCAAGTACCAGGTGAGGGCGGCAAGGCATCCAAGTACCAGGTGAGGGCGGCAAGGCATCCAAGTACCAGGTGAGGGCGGCAAGGCATCCAAGTACCAGGTGAGGGCGGCAAGGCATCCAAGTACCAGGTGAGGGCGGCAAGGCATCCAAGTACCAGGTGAGGGCGGCAAGGCATCCAAGTACCAGGTGAGGGCGGCAAGGCATCCAAGTACCAGGTGAGGGCGGCAAGGCATCCAAGTACCAGGTGAGGGCGGCAAGGCATCCAAGTACCAGGTGAGGGCGGCAAGGCATCCAAGTACCAGGCGAGGGCGGCAAGGCATCCAAGTACCAGGTGAGGGCGGCAAGGCATCCAAGTACCAGGTGAGGGCGGCAAGGCATCCAAGTACCAGGTGAGGGCGGCAAGGCATCCAAGTACCAGGTGAGGGCGGCAAGGCATCCAAGTACCAGGTGAGGGCGGCAAGGCATCCAAGTACCAGGTGAGGGCGGCAAGGCATCCAAGTACCAGGTGAGGGCGGCAGGCAAGGCGAGGGGCAGCAAGGCCTCCTCATCGTTACTGCACTTGCTGTCACTTGATCCAGCGTCGTTGTGGCGCACTGTTGTGTGTCACCCATCCGCATCCCCTCCTCCCTGCTGCCCTGCTTCTGCTTCTGCCTCACATCATTCCTCCCCCATTCCCCTGCCTTCTTCGTCCCTTCCCTTCCACGCCTTGCCCCCCTCTTCCTTCCCCCCCCCTGTGTGCGGGGCAGATGGCGGAGTACAGGGTGTCGATCTATGGGCGCAAGATGAGCGAGTGGGACCAGCTCGCCAGCTGGGTCGTCAACAACGACCTCTACTGCCCCAACGTCGTCTGGCTCATCCAGGTGGGAGCACGTGGTTCTGTATGGGTGTTGTTCACTTGCAGCACTTGGACTGTCACGGATCTGCCTGGACTGCTCACAGCGGTTGGGTGATGTACTCAATGATGCTTCTGTCAGCCTCGCCATCCCTTCATCCACCATTCCTGCGCCCCTCGCCATTCCGCTCGTCTCTCTCTGTCGCTTCCTCTGCGCCCTCTGCCTCCCTTGTTAATCACGCCTCCCTGTCGCTGCAACGCGTACACGGAGATATTCAAGCTGCTGCCGTTCTTCTCCCCCCTCCACCCCTCCCTCCCGTCCCCCCTCCCTCCCTCCCTCCCTCCCTCCCTTCCCCCCTCCCTCCCTCCCTGCTCTTTGCCCCTCTCTCTACTTACACCCCCCCGTGCACGGCAGCTGCCGCGGCTGTACAACGTGTACAAGGACATGGGCATAGTGGCGTCCTTTCAGACGATGCTGGACAACATCTTCCTGCCGCTCTTCCAAGTCACTGTTGACCCCTCCTCGCACCCGCACCTCCACATCTTCCTCAACCACGTGAGTGCACGTCACTTGTCGCACTGCATAGAGCGGTCAGTCACCGTGTCTGAAAAGCTGAACGTGCTCTCACACCGTGGCCCGCGTGTTCTGCGTCGCTTAACACCCTCTACGGCACCCCCCGTGTGTCCCCTGCCCTGCCCTGCCCTGCCCTGCCCTGCCCTGCCCTGCCCTGCCCTGCCCTGCCAGGTGGTGGGGTTTGACATGGTGGACGATGAGAGCCGTCCGGAGCGCCGCCCCACGAAGCACATGATAACGCCGGCGGAGTGGACCAACCCCTTCAACCCCGCCTACGCCTACTACACCTACTACGTCTACGCCAACCTCCTCAAACTCAACCGCGTCTGTGCCCTGCCCTGCCCTGCCCTGCCCTCACTCTGCCCGTTGGCACGCTCTCATCCTGCCTGCCCTGCTGTCCCCCCTGCCTATCACACTGTTTCTAAGTTGCAAAGCCTCTTCTGCAACCCACCCCACCTCGCCCCATGTGGCATTACGTATTGACAGGTAGTTTATCTCTGAAAGTCTTTCTCATCCCAATCTTCTGCCCTTCGTCTTCTCCTTCCTCTATCCGCGTGCTCGTCCCCTTTCCTCGGCCCCTCTCTCTTTCCATCCGTCACTCTGTACCCTGCACCTCTCCCTCTCCCCCTTCCCCCCCCCCAACGAGCACAGCTGCGCGAGTCCAAGGGCCTCTCCATCCTCAAGTTCCGCCCGCACTCTGGAGAGGTGAGGCTGGGGGGGTTGAGGTGAGACGGGGAGGGGGAGGGGGAGGCGAGATGGAATGACAGGGGAAAAAGGGGTGGGGTGGGTTGATAAAGTGGGGAGCTGTGCGAGGTGTCACCCAAACCACATCACACACCATTTCCCACAGCAACAAGCCTCTTCTCACGTTGCTCTCTGCCTTCCACTCCCCTCCTTAACCCCCGTTCCCCCATCCAAACCCCGCCCGGGCCTCCCATGCACTTCCCATGGCAGGCGGGAGACGTGGACCACCTAGCAGCCACGTTCCTGACGGCGCACAACATAGCGCACGGCAACAACCTGCGGCGCACGCCAGCGCTGCAGCACCTGTACTACCTGGCGCAGATCGGGCTCGCCATGTCGCCGCTGAGCAACAACTCGCTGTTCCTGGACTACCACAAGAACCCCTTCCCACTCTTCTTTGCACGCGGGCTCAACGTGTCGCTGAGCACGGACGACCCCCTCATGATCCACCTCACCAAGGAGCCGCTTGTTGAGGAATACAGCATCGCCGCGCAGGTGGGTCTATGAACCCACTCGCCCCACTCATGCTTGTGTAGACACTCACTCCACGGACGACCCCCTCATGATCCACCTCACCAAGGAGCCGCTTGTTGAGGAATACAGCATCGCCGCGCAGGTGGGTCTATGAACCCACTCGCCCCACTCATGCTTGTGTAGACACTCACTCCACGGACGACCCCCTCATGATCCACCTCACCAAGGAGCCGCTTGTTGAGGAATACAGCATCGCCGCGCAGGTGGGTCTATGAACCCACTCGCCCCACTCATGCTTGTGTAGACACTCACTCCACGGACGACCCCCTCATGATCCACCTCACCAAGGAGCCGCTTGTTGAGGAATACAGCATCGCCGCGCAGGTGGGTCTATGAACCCACTCGCCCCACTCATGCTTGTGTAGACACTCACTCCACGGACGACCCCCTCATGATCCACCTCACCAAGGAGCCGCTTGTTGAGGAATACAGCATCGCCGCTCAGGTGGGTACAGCATCGCCGCTCAGGTGGGTACAGCATCGCCGCTCAGGTGGGTACAGCATCGCCGCTCAGGTGGGTACAGCATCGCCGCTCAGGTGGGTACAGCATCGCCGCTCAGGGGGGTACAGCATCGCCGCTCAGGTGGGTACAGCATCGCCGCTCAGGTGGGTACAGCATCGCCGCTCAGGTGGGTACAGCATCGCCGCTCAGGCACCAGTTGTTTAAGCGATTGGTGGTTTCAATACACATGTGTCACTCACGATCTGCTCGGGATCCATCTTACCTTGTAACGAACCCTTCACCACTGTATCTTCGCACTTGTCCCTGCCCCTTCCCAGCGCCTCCCTCCCTCGTGCATCAGATCAGGCGCCTCACCTCCTGCCACATCTGAAATCATCATCCGCTCATCCTGCTTTCCCTCCCCACGCTCCCCTTTTCTCTCTCCCACACCCACTTACCCCACTACCCCACCCCTCCCCCCCTCTCCCCTCCCCTCGCTCACTTCAGGTGTGGCGCCTGACATCATGCGATCTCTGTGAGATCGCCCGCAACTCCGTCTACCAGTCAGGCTTCTGGCACCCCACCAAGGTACGCACCCCACCAAGGTACCTACCTCGCCTGCTCGCCTGGTGTGCTGTTGCGCTCCAATCCAGGTTTCTTGCCTCATGTGTTGCAGCTCCCGCTATCTCATCCTCCCCTCCCGTCCTCCCCCCGGTTCCCCTCTTCTCCTCCCCTCGTCACTCAAACCCCCCATTTCCCCCCTCTTCCTAAGCTAAGCATCTTACCTCATGTATCATCCTCTTCTGCTCCTTCCTCACTACCCATCAAGATTATTTCCCAGTCGACCCATTGCTCACCTCGTTACAGTATCACCCGCCACAGCCTCACCAACCTCCTTGTGCTTCTCTCCACCATGCCTCCCCCCCCCGTCCCCAGGCGCATTGGATCGGGCCGCGCTACTTCCTGCGCGGGCCAGACAGCAACGACATCCACCGCACCAACGTGCCGCACATCCGCATCGAGTTCCGCTACCAGGTGCCACACTCCCTGTCCCATCCCTGCATGCATGGGAGGATGCGGAGTATGCATATTTGAGAATGCAAAGAGTGCATCACAAGGCCATTACTGTGTGCCGCTTCTCTTGAACAAAGATGTGCTGTGTGGCATTGCACTGGGATGTTTTCTCACTTGACTCAGAGTCACCAAGCATCTTTCTTGAAATGGAGTAAAAGTGTCCGCATCTCAACAATGTGCTTGCTGCTGTTCCTTCCTCCCGTTTCCCCCATGTGACCCCTGGAGCAGGCATGGGAGGCGGAGATGGAGTATGTGTATCTGGGCAAGGCCAAGCTGCCTCAGGAGATCGACTCCTGATGCCCCTGCTGCACCGCACCCTGCACCTGCTTCTCTGCACCCGTGCTGCGCTTCTGCTGTATGCCAATCCACTCGGGCCAACCCCTATACAGGCCGGGTCAAGCCCTTGCCATGCCGAATCAAGCTGTGCCGAGTGCATGGCAAGAGCCCGTCTTATTGTATTGCATGGCCATGTAGGTGCATGCCATTGTATTGTAATTAGCCCCTCTCTAGGCTACGGTACATTCTTTCTGCATTGCAGCATGCTGCTGCATGTGACGCTGTAATAAACCTGCTGATAGCTAAAGGTTGTGTATGCCAAGGGTATTGCATGCTTAGTTGGAGCTTTCAGCACAACTACAAATTCCTGCATGTTACCATTGCCCACATGACATGACCACTCTATTCTCCGATACATGACCACTCTATACTCTCTTTTCCATCAAACCCACAGCTCTGGCGGTGCTGTGACAGCACCCCTTCAGCTCCAGTCTCCAGCGCTTGTCATTCAGCCCCTCTGTTTATGCCCTCCACACACCATTCCTGGCGCTGCCAGCGTGCACAATAATGGCCTCCCCATCTGCCGCACAGCCCATTCTACCTGGCGGCTCTGGCAGTGCTTTCAAATTGCCTCTTGAGCTCCAGCGCCCTCTCAAACAGCCCCTCGTCCATGCCCTCCACACTCCGCCCCAGCTGCGCTAGTAGCACCTGCAGGGGAAGCCGCAGGCAGAGGAGGAAGGAGGAGGAAGGTGAAGGAAGTTGGAGATGCATCAAAGCCTCCTGCATCAAACTCAAAAGGAGGGTATGTGACTGACTCAAGGCACACAAAAAGGTGGGGGAGAAGACGGTAGGCTTGGGAGGGGGCAGAGTGCGGGTTGGTGAAGCGAGGGAAGGCAGAAGTGTGCATTCTGAATGCCTTTAGTAAAGTGCACCATCTAGCAGAGGCAACTTCTTGAGTGCTTGTATAGAAGAGGTGTAATCTACCATGGTATTTTCGTGACAGTAGTCAACTTAGCAGGAAGTCAGCAGGCAGGCAGGCACATGGCACTCCTCTGCACCAGCTCACAATCTTGTCTTCCTCTGTTGCGTCTTCTCTCCAATCGACCTTGCCTAGAAACTGGAACAGACTGTTAGGGCGCATGCCAGGTGTGACTATACGGGATGTGTCTACAGCGAGCATAGCTCCAGACCGATCCTCTATCCTGATGCGCGTTTCATCACCCCCTGCTATTGGTCGAATCCTGAAGGGTGAGGGAGACGGGGTATCAAGGATTGAAACACTCGCAGTTCAGTTACATTTTTTATTCATGTTATCTTCGCAACGGTGAAAGAGAATTTTCAGAGCAGTGCAACTGTACCTGCCTGTGACCCTTACGAGAATCCCCGCTATGGATTGCCCCGCTGAAACCACTTCACGGACATGCATAATCCGCGCGCATGGCAAGCCGTCCGTTGCGCTCGCCCTGCGGTGCTCGGAAGAACGGGTTGGGAAGAGGGGCTTGTAGCCATTCGAAAAGCGTTGAGATCTTGAAGATCGAAGGTGAGTGGGCTGATGAACTCAAGAAAAGCCTCGCAAACATTTTCTGCTGCGGTCTAACTATCGCGACTCGGCGGTGGTCGTGTGCAATGAGCTTACGACATTCTTCGGGAGATTGATGGCGTAATGCGCGTTAGGAGATTCACGTGATTGGCACCATGCTGGCGTGCTTGTCCCACCTCGTTTAGAATCTCGCCATTCAAGCCAAGAAATTTTCGAGGAGGATGGCACACTACTGCGACACCTAGCGCAATCGATTCAAGCAAGCACACATGTCAAAATGGTTGGGAGCTTCTCTCGAGGTTGGAGATGCTTCACGTTGCCGATCACATTCGATAACGGATTGGTAGGGGTTGAGCGATTGTGAGGGCGACTGTGTGCGAAAGCTGACACCTGAGATCCACTCGGCTGCGGCCCGGGAATGTGTGCGACCGTGTGCGAAAGCTGACACCTGAGATTGTGGGAAGCCGCGTTAGGGTGGTGTGCTGTGTGCTGGTCTGACAACTTTGCGCGCCTGATCTGCTGCAGACAAGCTGGCGCATGCCCGCCCTCGCGCACAATGGTGTTGGGAGTGTCGTTCGCGGGAAGGGGATGTTTGGAATTTCGGATTACTAGATTCTTGGTTCGCCCGGAGATTTAGGAATATTAGGGCATCCCGCAGTATTTTGTTTTCGCACTGAAAACTGAAATCCAGAGCCCGTCGAGGCTTATTGTGACTAGTTTCCGTCACTTCCAGAACCATTCGCGGCAGAAGTCACTGACACTTATACACCAGGATATCCGTTCGACCTGGGAGAACTGAAGTCCCTCAAATAAACCAGAACGGCGTCTCCCCGCGCTCAGCCGCCTTGGTCTGATTCGCGAATGCCATTCGAGAACTTGTAACTCGTATAGCTCTTCGTGCATGCTTCGCTGGTCCTCATGACCAGGTACATAGCCGAGTGAGGTGGTCATTGCTGCTGCACTCCAGCCAGATCCTTCACTTTCTTCAGTCCACCACACTTTTCTCGCAGCAGCACCGGCTTCGAGGTTAGGGTTCCTTTCTCTGGCTGGTGGTGTGGGTCAAGTTGATTGGATTGCGTCATCTACTAGCTCAATCCACCATAGTATACTTGTAAGTCTAGAAGGCTTGTGCACATCAGCTTCTAGCTCAAGTCACGCTGTATCGTTACAGTCTGCGCCTGGATGGCGTGAGAAGCCTTGCGTGATCCAGACGCCAGCGGAGTGCGGAAGACCACCTCGCGGACTTATTCATCCCTGGACTCACTGGATTTACTGCCGTACGTCGCACCTCAAATCCGCAGGAGTAGCCGCAGCTTCACGAGAACATTGGTCGACAGAACGCGTTGACATCTCCCTTCAACATTAGCCATTACGCTCATCACAGCGGCAGGCGGCGTCGTCAGTCTGTAACGATCAGTAGAGTGAACAACTCCTGGCGCAAGCTTTCGGAGGAAGCGTTTAAGCAAGGATCGGCAAGGTTTTCCGCACAGAAGGCCCGTGACTACAGCGACACGCCATGGGTCACTTGGCGTTACCCTTGTCGACCGGCAAACGCTCTCTCAGATCCAGACGCGATAGGAACGTCTTCGCTTCCATCGCTTATGGCCAGATCTCAGGCAGAAGTATTAAGAGCATCCGCCGTCTTCCGAAGCCTCTGTATCAAAGGCTCTACGCGTTGTCTCATGGCATGGCTGGCTTATGCAAGGATGTCGAATCGCATTTTCTGGCGAACGATCTAGAAGCGTGCAGAAGTGTGATTGGCAGGATCTTTCGCAACATTGGGGAGTCTTCGAGTAGCAACCAGCAGAGCAGCCGTGACTGGTTCGTTTACTGCGGAGGTGACACCCTCTTCATCCGCATTCTCTCCTCGCCGTTCGCGAATCCTCGCGAAACAGATCGCGAAGGAAGCTCCACTGCAGTTACCGAACGACAGGGAGGCGCAGCTGGAGCAGGAGAGGGATCTGGCGGAGGGGGAAGAGCTGGCGGGGGATCGCGGAACCGCCGCGGGATTTTCCGCACGGAAAGCGCGGAGGGATCGCGGGAAGGGGGGACGCTCCGAGAGGGGGAAACATCGCGGGAGGAGACGGCGCTATGGATGATGCGCAACGACTGCCTGGCCGTGCTGCGCGAGATGTGCTTCGCGTCCGCGTGCTTCTCCGAGGGGCTGTCCGTGCAGCGCCAGTTCCTCATCCGCCTCTTCGCGCTCATGGAGAATAAGATCACCTTCGACTACGGTGAGCACCATGGATGCACGCTGTGCGTCGCATGCTCGTCAGCAACATGTGCTGATCCCATCGTTTCAAGGGCGAATTTTCAATCCAATACTCAGTGGTTCATTTTCGTTCTTCGTGGTCCTACAGCATCGCGTTAGTACCAGGTATCCCTGTGGTTGATTACTTTCGAGTGTTACTGGTTAAGAAATCGTTTTGCCTGTTCCCGCATCTCGCTTCCCGCTTGTTCATTTCTTCTCGCGCATTTTGGTTCCAAGCTTTTTACCTCTTGGCTCTTCTACGTCGTAGTTCCCTCTAGCTCTTCCCGCGTCTCGGTTCGAGCTCGTTCTATGCTCCCCCCCCCTTGCGTCCTCCCCTCTACCCCGTCGCAGCCGTCGCGCTAGCGGAGGAGATCCTGGCGGTGGGGGAGGAGACGCTGAATCTGGGGTCGGTGCCCAACTTCGCGCGGCTGGTGCGCGGGCTGTCGTCGCGGCAGCTCTCCTTCTTCTGCCGCGTGCTCGCCATGGTCGTCTTCGAACCCGAGGACCGCGCGCCCGAGGTCTCCGCGCTGCAGAAGGGCGCGGACCCGGCGGAGCGCGCGGAGCGGGAGGCGGAGTGGGCGGTGGCGGACGGCAATCACGACGTGCTGCTCGCCATCCCCGACATCCTCGCCAACCTCGTCAAGCTGCTGCAGGTGGGGTCCCGCGGTGCTCCCTCACACAGCCCATGCTGTGCTGTGCTGTGCTGTTCTGTACTGTGCCGTTCTGCTGTCGTAAATCCGCTGCAGGTGCGAAGTGTGTTTTGTTTCGGCCTGATCACCCGGTTCGTCTCTCTGTCCGCTCCGTTATGATCGCCACCACCTTGCAATATAATAACGACTTTGTGATGATTTTGTATCGTTGTGCATGATGGTGCATTGAATTGACCCTGCGGGCGGCAGATGGAGAGCAGCGGCGAGGCGGACCTGTGGTCGCCCAGCCTGAGCGAGTGGCAGCCGCTGCTGGGCGACCTCATGGCTGGTGAGGACGAGACCGCTGCTGACTGGGGGCCTGAAGAGGACGACGAAGAGGACTATAACGAGGACGGGGAGGAGTACGAGGAGGAGGAGGAGCAGGAGGAGGATGATGAGGAGGTGGAGGTGGAGGAGGAGGAGGAGCAGGAGGAGGATGATGAGGAGGTGGAGGAGGTGGAGGAGGAGGTTGATATGGAGGGCGAGTTGCTGGAGGAGGACGAGGATGTGGAGGGCGCAGATGCAGAGGAGGGGGAGGGGGAGGAGGCGGAGGAAGGGGAAGGGTCTGGGTTCTACGAGGATGTTGAGGAGGAGATTGCAGGGGAGGACGAGGAGGAGGGCGGGGAGGGGGAGGAAGTAGAGGAGGGGGAGGAAGTGCGCGGAGGGGGGAGCAGGAGTGGGGGCGAGAGGCAGGGGCCCAGGTTGGGGAGGCTTTGGGGGGGAGGGGATGGTGCGGAGAGGGCGGGAGGTGCGAGGGAGAGGAGGGAGAGTGCGGGTGGGGGTGCTGGAGCTATTCATTTCATACAGGGCTTGTTTGGCTGGGGGACCGGCGATGCTGGTACCAGCACCCATAGCACTGGCGGTGGCAGTGGCGGAGGTGGGGGAGGGAGGGAGGCGGAAGGGAATGGGGGGGCGAGAGGCGCGGCACAAGGTGCGTCGGAAGGCGCTGCGTCAGGGGGAGACGGCGGAGATGGCGGGGCGGAAGCCTCTGGCGCTGCAGGCAGGCAGGCGGGCAGGGGGAATCTCTGGGGAGGGTTCGGGCTGTTTGGGGGCATGGGCGGACTTCGACCAGGGGGAGCAGGCGGAGGGGGAGGAGCAGTGCGGGAGGGAAGAGGCGGGGCAGGGGAAGGAGGAGAGGAGCAGGAGCCTGGTCCGGATGGCGGTGGTGGTGCTGTGGCTGTCAGTCAACGGCGAACTGGTGCTGCTGCGCCTGCAGCAGGAGTAGCGCCACGCGGAGCAGCAGATACCACCCGAGGGCCCTTCTCCCCTCGTTCGCCGCCTGTTGCCGCTCCTCCCCCCCGCATGCCGCCGCTCCTCCCCCCCTCCCCCCATGCTGCCGTGCTGCCATTCTCCCCCCATCCCACCGTCCTTACAGGAACCTCCACCTCCCCTCCTCGACCGCCCCCCAACCGCACTCCACCCACTGCAACCCAACTGGGAGCGCTTCCCCAAGTGAATACTATAGGCAATCCAATGACCGCCAATCCCCTCAACCTGCTCCCACTCACCGCGCCTGCCAACCCCGCCGCTGCTGCTACCACCGCAGAGGCAGCAGGCGCGGGGATTCCTGCGGGCGCGCGCGTGATGGTGTTCGTGGGGAACCCGCCGCGGCTGCTGGGGGAGGTGCCCGAGGGCGAGCTGGAGCCCTTCCTGCGCGCGCTGCCCCAGGGCGCGGTTACCGTTCTCAGGGCTGGCGAAATCGGGTTACCAGAGGGCGCGGGGCCTGCTGCTGTGGCGACGAACATGGCTGCTTCGTTCATGGAGCAACAGGTGAGCGCTGGGGGGGTGACTAGGAGGCTCGGCAGTGGCATGGCATGACATGGCATGGCATGGCATGGCATGGCATGGCATGCACGAAATGTTGTGGAAGGCATGGTACTGCATGGCATGTGCAGCTGTTTGTGTTCTGCTCCATGCCTGGTATGCCCTTTCCCACATTCACAACAGCATTGCCCATCATGCCCCACTGTGCAGCTTCTCAGTACATTCTCCCGTCCCCCGCATCCGTGTGTGCTTGTTGCGCCCTTGCTCCCATTTGACGGCAGCAGCAGGTGGAGGTGCTATTCGTGCTGTGTGCGCTGTGTGGCGGCAAGCGCAAGGAAGCGGTGCAGGACCAGCTGGCGGGGCTGGGGCTCGTGGCCATCCTCGTTGACTCGTTTGACCGCCTCAACTGGTCTGCACCGCTGCCGCCGCCCGCTGAACCCCACGGCATCCACGGCCCCGGCTGCTCCTGCAACCCCGAGTCGGTCAGTGCCTCTCCCTCCCACAGGCTGCTTCCATCATCTCGCTTCCAGCACTTTTCCCTTCTTACAACTCCTGTGGTCCTTTTATGCCTCTCTGCATCTACTTGCACTTCATTTCGTGGCTCCGCACCCTCCTAAGGCCCCTCAAAACCCAGTGCATTTCTCTCATCCTTACCTATCATTGTTCTGGCCTCCCAAGTCGTCTTCTCACCGCATTCCACCTCTCTGCACCGCTCTGCACCTTTTGCAGGCCCTGAAGATACAGTACCTGCGTCTCATCCACAACTTCTGTGACCGAGACGGTCCCAACCTGCACAACAAGCTGCTCCTCGCCTCGCCCGGTGGTGTACCACCACCGCATGATGCTGCTACACCACCCAGGATCGCTGCCTCGGGAGTCGCTGCAAGTGCAATCACCCCTGGGAGCACTGCTGCTGGTGCCGGTGGTGGTGGGAGTGGTGGGGCGAGCAGCAGTGGTGTCGGCAGTGCTGGCAGCAGCAGCTCCAGCGGCAGTAGTGGGAGTGTGGAGGGGAGGGTGCAGGGAGGCACGCAGGGAGAGGGAAACGGACAGGGGCGGGGACAAGGAGAGGGAGAGGGGGAGGAGCAAGGGTATGCGCTGGGGTTTGGGGCAAGCTTAGGCCGGGCGCTAGGGTTCTCACCGAACCAATGGCTGCCTGGCTTGGGTATCAGAGATGGCGCAGGTGACTCTGGTGTGCTGTCCCAGGCCGTGGGAGTGGGCGCCAGCAGAGGAGAGGGAATCAGTTCAATAGCAGCAGCAGGAGCAACAGAAGCAGCAGCAGCGGGAGCAGGTGGGGTGGTGGAGGGCGGGGCGGGCGAGGAGGAAAAAAACGAGGCGCTGATGCTGAAGATCATCCGAGTGCTCATGAAGGAGTCAGCCGACTCCGTGTACCGCTTCTGGCTGGCCTCCTGTGTCGAGGCCTTCCTGCGAGGCTCCAACCCGCGCGACCAGCAGCTGGTGGCGGCCACGGGCCTCATGGAGCACCTGGTGGAGGAGATTCTCCGAGGGGCGTCGGGCTTTAAGTGCGCGGCGTCGCTGCAGATCGACTTTGACCTGCTGGGTGAGCTGGTGAAGTTCAACCCGGTGCTGTTCCGGCGCCTGGCGGCGCTGGTGCAGGGCGAGCGGTTCAGCCGGTTCATAGAGGTGCTGGTGGCGCACCTCGTGGACTCAAATGTCTTTATTCGATCTGTCATGCTCTCCCTCCACGCCTTCCGCACCGGCCTCCCCACCCCGCCCTACCTCGGCCCCTGCCCCACGCCTGCGCTCCCCCCTCCTGTGCTGTCCCCTGCGCTCCCATCCACGTCCGCTGCTCCGCCCTCGCTAGTGTCATCTTCCTCCTTAAGCCCTGCGCCCGCCCTGCAGTCCTCCTCATCTGCTGCTGCTTCTGGGGAAGAGGAGGCGAAGAAGGATGCGGGACTTGCGGCTGATGGCAGTGATGCTGATGCTAGCGGTGGCGGGAGTGATGGTGATGGTGATGGTGATGGTGGCGATGCTAACAGCAGCTCAAGCGAGGGCACAGGCAGAATAAGCAGAGAGAGAGAAGAAGAGTCGGCTCTTAAGGCCACACCCTTATGTGCGGCACCACTTGGGGTAGCTGAAGGATCAGCAGCAGCAGCACAGACAGCAGCAGACAGGAAGGGGAAGAAAAAGGTGGAAGAAGGAGGGAGGAGCGCGGAGAGAGGGAGTGTGTGGGATTCAAAGGGGAAGGCGAAGGGGAAGGCGGTGATGGGGGAGGGGTCGGTGGAAGAGGAGGAGGAGGTGGAGCTGGCGTCACCCCTGGCGGCGTTCATGGAGTGCAACTCCGTGCTGCTTCTGCGCGACCTCATGCTGGTTGTGCGCCTGGGCGACATCAACCAGGTGAGCGGATTGATTGGGAGGGTTGTGAGAGCAGGGTGGAGGGTGAGAGGGGTGTGTTGGGTGCATTGCTAACTGCCTCTGGATTCCGTGTGCTGCTTTGGGGTGTCATGACAGTGGTTGCGGTGCAAATGGGGGTATCAACTAGGTGCGGTTATCAACAGCATGCCTCGTACATTTAGATTACCAGCAGTGAAGGAAGTGCAAGTGTCTATAAGGGAAGCGATTGTTTCCATTTCCTCCACATCTTTTTTTAAACTCCCTGTCGCCCACTCTCATCCCTCTTTCTCATCTCCCTCCGCTCGCCTCAGCACAGCATCCGTGTGCACCACCCTCACCTCTTCTTATTCCCAAACTCCCTCCCCACCCTTCCCCCCCACCTCTCCCCCCTTTTCATCGTGTGTGTGTGCAGGACAACATCTGTGTGCTCAACACGGCGCTCATCTTCTTCATCTTCGCCAATCGCAACGCACAGCTCCTCTCTCTGCTCGCCGCCCTCCGGGCCGCCGACAAGGCCCAACCTGCATCCCTTGCCGCTTCCACCACCCTCCTCCAACCCTCCGCCCCTTCCTCTCCTGCTTCCCCATCCTCCCCTTCCTCCTCCTCACCCTCGTCCTCGCCCTCCTCACGCTCTCCCTCTTTCCTCTCCAAGCCCCCGTCTTCTGCTCTCCTCAACCCATCTTTGCTGCCTGAGCCGCTTTTTTCCACGTCTGAAGACTCGTCCTCTGGAGTGGGCCCAGGCAGCGTGATGAAAAACTTTCGGGCGCTGCTGGACTTTTGGCGGGAGTATTATCTGAGGAAGAGGGGCAGGGACTGTGCCAGCCTGCAGTTCTCCACCAACATTCCCTTCACCGAGTGGCTCCGAGTCGTTGAAATGCTTTGTGCGCCGCCCGACTGCCCTACCTCGCTTTTGTACTGCCCGCCGCTGCCCGCTAGTGGCTCGCAGTGCTCCTCTGTTGGGCTCAGGGTTGACCCCCCTCCCCGACGGTGCTGACATGATTGATGCTACTTGTCTCATTGATGGTCGTATACGTATACTGTATTATCCTGTATTATTGATAGTCACATCCTCTGTTCCATTGTGAACAAGAAGCACAAGATCAGAATTGACGAAGCTTTTTGGACAAGCGACTTTTTGACAGCTGTCGTTCACTTCACAGCTCTCATAGCTCAGTTGGTTAGAGCACCCGTTTAGTAAGCGGGAGGTCTTAAATACAACTCTCAATGAGAGCAGCTTCTTTGTTCCTCTTGTGTCTGCTCTTCAACAACAACAGCCAATACCGTATGTACCAGTCTAGGGCCTTGAAACCAGGCATGGGATTTTAGATGAAAGCAGATTGCCTAAAACACACTGCCCAACTATTAATCACAAATCATCCTTCAATCAAGCAACAAGCTTTGCAGCACTTGCACACACGAGCAATGATCCACGCAGGCAATACGGTACCGTACCTAAACGGACTGGCTGAAGCGTGTGTCACACCCTCCATGTGATGCCCGCCCACACCCTCCATTCTAACAGGGGCTTCATGGGAATCCTGGTAATCCTAACTAAAGCTTCATGTCTCCAACATCCGGTGAAGCAGAGGGCTGGTGAAGCACTTCTCACTTGAAGAAATATAATCCGCGCTATGCCTCGACTGCCTGTGGGGCACCTGAGGCAGAGGAAACTGCTGAGTGTAGTTCCCATTTTTCCACCACATTGGTGTTACAGCCCTCGAACCGGCAGCCAATGCAGGGTCGGACGAGTTTCTCGGAATCAGCGGCGCTGCGTTGCATGCGGCCCCGCTCGTCGTCCCCGCAGGGTTTACGCGCATGACTGCACGGCGGACGATGCGCGTGTCGGTCATGAACACGTCGCAGCCCACGTCCACCCACTCTCCTCCTCGGGAATACCCGCTCGCCTTCGGGAGATTCTCACCCATGCCACCATGGCTCGCGATAGCCGTGTCGCTCAATTCAAATTGCACCGAAGAGTTCGCAGCAGCAGGTTTGAATCGGGGGCTCTTGGGAATGGTAGGGCACGGGGAGCGCGGAGTTCTGGGGCTCACGCGCGTGTTTTCGGCGCGGAACCCGACGGGTGAGGTTTGATCGAAGCTGCTGCTGCGCCGCCCGATGGGCAGCTTGAAGCGAACCAGCTTGCCCATCAAAGACCGTTTCGCGCTGGCCGTGGGGGACGACGACCTAACGGATTCCATCGCGGGCGTGGGAGGAACTTCGCATTCGTCCTCCAGCGCTTCCAGCTGCGAGCACGACACATGCGGGAGACAGGGAGAACGGGTAAGTGGGTTACTCTTCTCGAACCTGAACCTTAGCTGAAGGGGCAGATATTATTTGACCCTGCTTACCTCGGCCAGAATTGGATTTATGTGCCGATTCCCCCGGATGATGCCGTTGCTGACGTGGCTCAGGATCCGCAGCGTCCCAGCTGGAAGTCCTCCGCTCCGCCACGTGGTCCCATCGTGCGCGAGTCTGCTCGAGGTTCAGTGCGGAGGCGGACCGCACCATTTTAATCTCCTCTCCAGGAGCATAAAACGAGTCAAGAGCCTCCTTGGGGCATCCCGCCGCGTCGTGCGGGGAGTGCGTCGCCGCGAACGGCGCGCATTGGAGATCCAGACCCGGCACCGAGACGATCCTCGCTGAAGGAGCCTCCGCCGCCGCGGGCAGGGGGACACGGCGGAGGTAGTAGGTGGCGTTGAGGTTAAGGACCCGCTGCTGCTGGAGAAGAGGACCTGTGGACGTGCACGACAGCGCGTGGCTCGGGTAGTCGCACAGCACGTCGCACACGGTCAGGCGAGGCGTGTCGTACAGTCGCACGGAGCCGTCGGGTAACACGACGAGGACGGTGGGGACGTCGAGGCAATCAGCGTCCGGGATGAGGGATGCCGGTGCGCGGAAAGGAGAGTCCGCGCTTGTCGTGCGAACCAGCGGCACCGCCATGGCTGCTGCAGAAGAGCTCTCAACGTACCGCTCAAAGAGTTAACCCCGCGGGTTTTGAAAGCAGTTGGATGGGGAAAACTGAATGCCCGATTGCCCGGAACAATCTGGAGACACGGGTTCGTGAATGGGCGTTGAATAAACTAAAAGAGTTCGAGGTCCTCGATTTGAAGTTGCGCTGGTGGGAGGGATGCAGCATCTTGCCACTAGGGCTTGAGAATAGAGGCATACTACAACGTCCTTGCATGGAGTCCCCGAGGCGCGTTTCGAGAAGAGTGACAGACAGAGCGGCGATGGGCTGAGCTGAGAGAGACAATGGCCGAGCTGGAAGCGATGGAGAGAACGATAAACTCGGGGGATTAGATTCAGCCACTTCCAGCACCATAGGTGACAGAATCGTCTGCGGCGACATGGAGGTTGAGATGGATGATCGCACGGATAAAGACATGAAGCGCGGTTGGCGGACAGGTTGGCGAAACAGCTGCGGAAGTGACGACTGGCGAAATTTTCGAATCACGAGGAAGGCGGAACTTCGTGCAGCGAAGTGCATCGAAACGAGGGAGATTCCGTCGCAGGAGCACCACCGATTTCGTACATGCGGCCACCCAATAAACGACAGCCCCTGCTTGTGGAAGAATGCTCGGCTGTGCGACAGCTGTGCCTTCCCTGGGAAAATCAGGTCTGCGCACGCGAAGCGCTCGCACTTGGTAAGCCGACGCTGGCGACAGAAAGAGATCTCGATGATGACGTGTAAATTCGAGTATCTACTTCTTTTGCGATGATTCTATTGGTCGCATCCTTGCATAGTGGGTGTGACAAGCTGGAGACAGGGCTCCTGCATCTAGCCGTGAAGGGATGAAGATGAGCGAATTGCTCCAGAACCTTGTTTGGTGATTCAGTCTTGCCCACGTGGCCTCGAATTGCTCGCGTGGCCATCGAATTTAGTGATAATTGCTCGAGTGGCCACGCCAGGGGATTTTCTAGGTGTTGTTTTCCCCCAGCACATTACCCTACGAGGAATTTAGCCCCGAAAGTCCTCTCACGTACTCGTCTCATCCCGCGCAAGCGTTGCGTACTATTCCCCACTCGAAAATTTCGCCAGGGTGGGCGGGCGCGAACGTGGCCCATTCACTGTACAAGAAACCGACAAATAATCACGACCAACAGTACATGCGCGCTCAATTTCGGCCCCATGCGCGACCAATTTCGGTTAAACAATTTCGTAACCATTAAGGGCTTGAGCATATAAATCCGCGATCATATAGGTAAATGCGAGGTTTCATATATCCGAAATTTATGATCAAGACTTTATATGACCGTATATGATTGGACGCGCAATGTCTAAATATGCCCCGCGCATAAAACGGACCAATCATATTTAGACATTATGCGAAATTTTCGAGTGGGGAATAGTACGCAACGCTTGCGCGGGATGAGACGAGTACGTGAGAGGACTTTCGGGGCTAAATTCCTTGTAGGGTAATGTGCCAGGGAAAACAAACACCTCGAAAATCCCCTGGCGTGGCCACTCGAGCAATTATCACTGAATTTGATGGCCACGGGAGCAATTCGAGGCCACGTGGGCAAGACTGAATCACCAAACGAGGTTCTGGAGCAATTCTCTCGATGAAGATTCACGAAGCTAGTTGCGGAAGCCCAAATTGCACAAGTTTTAAAAGGATGACGCGAGGGGTTTTTTGGGTTGCGTAGCAACCCCTTTACATTTGGTAGCACCTTTTTCGGTCGACTCGAATGAACAGTGCACATTTTTTTCATTTTCCCAACGTCTGAAGCACTCGCTTTAACGTTTTAAGAACGTGTGCTTCAAATGTGTGGAGATGACAACACTGCTACACAAGAGTCTCCCAAAAAAGGTGAAACCAAATGAGACCAATTATTCCATAATCGTCGATAAATACGGCGAATGGAAACAATTGGTAGCCTCTCCATATTTTACGGTACATCACACAATTGACGATACAACAAATTCGACGTGGATGCAAATTGCGGTACCGTATTTGCATCTACCGTATCGAACATGTGCAAAAACGACAACACTCAACAACAGCAAATGTCATAAAGTGAATGGCAAAATGCATGTGCTACAATAGCGATGGATCCGGTATGCTAAGGCGAGCAACGCTGCCCCGACAACGATCCCCACCTCAATTGCAGACCTGACACACTTTAACATGACACCTTACAACAAACACAAACAAGCACATGCGACATTGTACTGGTACAACGACGACAACGCATAACAATAATGAGTGTCTTGGGGAGAATGCTAGAATGCATCGATGATGCAACAAAGGTTGGTCTGGCACGCTAAGGCTATTGCCCCATCGGCGATCACAACCTGAGTTGCATACACGAGGCACTTCAGCACACGCCTTGAGACAGACACAAAACGATACAAACAACAAGACTGCACATACATATCTCACACAGGCTCACACACTCACATACACACTGACACGCACGCAAACAAGCACAGATACATACGGATAGTCAACACCCAACCATCATGAAATTCAGCTATTAATAAATAATCACTAGCCAATCACCCCTTACCCTCCCTACACCCCTGCCTCCCCCCCTCCCTCCCTCCCTCCCTCCCTACCTCCCTCCCTCCCTCCCTCCATCCCTCCCTCCCTCATCTCCCTCCCACCCCCTCCTTCATCTCCCTTCTCTGCCAAACAAAATCAACGAATGCAGCTCACGCGCCCTGCACAGAGCAAAAACAGATAATGCAAAGCACGCGCCCTGCACAAGAAAAAGGCAAAAACAAAGAATGTTCACACACTGTACAAACAAATCAATAAAACGCATAATGCTTCGAGGAGGCCAAGCAGGAAACTTGACAAGCAGTGGAAAGTTTGACAACTCACAGAGGTAAAATGGTGTGGCACCACAATACTACGCCAACATGATGCAATACATTGCAGCCACCCTCACGTTCAACTTCACAATCACGCTCGCACTCACTCAATCTTGCACCCACTCACACACAGACACACAAAGACTCTCAACTTTCTTAGACACTCTCTCAGAAACACACAAACCTACACGCTCTCTCACGCGCTCTCTCACACGCACTCTCTCGCACACTCTCACGCGCACTTTCACGCGCACTCTCACGCGCTCTCTCACGCGCTCCCTCACGCGCTCTCTCACGCGCACTCTCACGCGCACTCTCGCGGGCACTCCCACGCGCACTCTCACGCGCACTCTCACGCCCTCTCTCACTCGCTCCCTCATGCGTCACTCGCGCGCTCTATCACGCGCTCACTCACGCGCACTCTCACGCGCTCACTCACGCGCACTCTCACGCGCCCTCTCACGCGCTCTCTCACGCGCTTCCTCACCTGCCCTCTCACGCGGCCTCTCACGCGCACTCTCACGCGCACACGCACTGTCACGCGCTCTCTCACGGGCACTCTCACGCGCACTCTCACGCACTCTCTCACACACTATCTCACGCGCGCACTCTTACACACTCTCTCACACGCACTCTCACGCGCACTCTCTCGCGCACTCTCACGCGCTCCCTCACGCGCTCGCTCACGCGCGCTCTCACGCGCACACTCACGCGCTCTCTCACGTGCACTCTCACGCGCGCACTCTCCCGCGCACTCTCACGCGCTCTCTCACGCGCACTCTCACACGCTCCCTCACGCGCACTCTCACACGCTCCCTCACGCGCGCTCTCACACGCGCTCTCACGCACTCTCACGCGCTCTATCACGAGCGCACTCTCACGCGAACTCTCACGCTCTCCCTCACGCGCTCTCTCACGCGCGCACTCTCACGCTCTCCCTCACGCGCTCCATCACGAGCGCACCCTCACGCGAACTCTCACGGGCACTCTCACGCTCTCCCTCACGCGCTCTCTCACGCGCGCACTCTCACGCGAACTCTCACGCGCACTCTCACGCTCTCCCTCACGCGCTCTCTCACGCGCGCACTCTCACGCGAACTCTCACACGCACTCTCACGCTCTCCCTCACGCGCGCACTCTCACGCGAACTCTCACGCGCACTCTCACGCTCTCCCTCACGCGCTCTCTCACGCGCGCACTCTCACGCGGACTCTCACGCGCACTCTCACGCTCTCCCTCACGCGCTCTCTCACGTGCGCACTCTCACGCACACTAACACGCGCACTTTCACGCGCTCTCTCACATGGCCTCTCACGCGGCCTCCTGGCGCCAGAGCGCTAATCGCCAGCGCGTAAGGCGCCAAGGCGCAAGGCACCAGCGCACTAGGCGTCAGCGCGCAAGGCGCCAGCGCGCAAGGCGCCAGCGCGCAAGGCGCCAGCGCGCTAGGCGCCAGCACGTTAGGCGCCAGCGCGCAAGGCGCCAGCGCGGTAGGCGCCAGCGCGCTAGGCGCCAGCGCGCTAGGCGCCAGCGCGTTAGGCGCCAGCGCGCAAGGCGCCAGCCCGCACGGCGCCAGCGCGCACGGCGCCAGCGCGCACGGCGCCAGCGCGCATAGACGCCAGCGCGCAAGGCGCCAGCGCATTAGGCGCCAGCGCGTTAGGCGCCAGCGCGCAAGGCGCCAGCCCGCACGGCGCCAGCGCGTACGGCGCCAACGCGCACGGCGCCAGCACGCAAGGCGCCAGCGCGCAAGGCGCCAGCGCGCAAGGCGCCAGCGCGCACGGCGCCAGCGCGCAAGGCGCCAGCGCGCAAACAGCCAGTGCGCTAAGCGCCAGCGCGTTGGGCGCCAGCGCTAAGCGCCAGCGAGTTAGGCGCCAACGCTATACGCGCCAGCGTGCTAGTTCCCGTGCAAACTCTCTCACTCGCTCTCCCTCTGTCCCTCTCTTCAAATGGTATTGCAATGCAAAAGGAGATCTCGACAGGCAGAGAACTTGAGAATGTACGAAAGTAAATTATTTTTTCAGAGAGGAGGAGGAGAAATGGACCGGGAAAGGACAACGCACCTGAGAATCATGGTGCCTCAGAGGTCGATTCGCGCTCGCCCACCAGCTCGCGCTCCTGCAGCTACTGTCAGCGGCGACGGCGGGATGAGCGGGGGAGGCGACGGTGGGATGGGAGGGGGGGGGGGGGGGCGACGGCAGGCTAAGAGGGATACGACAGCAGGCTATGAGGGAGGCGATGGCGGGAAAGGAGGGAGAAGGTGGGGTGGCAGAAGGAGGCAACGGCGGTGTGAGAGGGAGAGGCGATGGCGAGAAAACAAACAGGATATCGTGGTGGTTGGCTAGATGGGTGGTGGTTGTGAGAGGCAAGGAGGGAGGTGAAGGTTGGGGTTTGTTGCAACAAGGTGCAACAAATTGAAGCTGCTTGGAGCCGAACAAAACCTGGAAGTTGGGGCAACTGCCAAAAAAGTCATCGGTAAAAGAGGCATGAAAATTTTCTATATTGAGTCTAAAACAAACACTAGGGGTCTAATTGCAAACCAGTCAAAATTTGGGCACCGGGTAAAAAAACAAAAATCATACATCTAGATTTGGAAGCTAGTGTCACGTGAAATAGACGCATACTCCCTACCCCCTATTTCGAAGGTACCCTGTACGTTTTCTGGCTCGATGTGACGGACACCCAAAGATTGACGAGGGTAGTTATCGAGTCTAGCACTTAATTTTCCGAGTGAGAAGTAGGGGTCGATGGCTGCCCTTGGAACACGAGAAGGTTGCGAGACCCCCTCCTCCGATAGTCTACAATCGTTGCTTGCTACCCTACTTAAACGTTTAACCGAGAGTATTTACCCCAGGGTGTGCGCTTAAGGGGTGTGAAATTATCGAGAATAGGGTGTAATGACGTCACATATCCATCCAAGCATTTGATTCAACTTCAAAACAGCTCATTGTAAGAACCTGATTCAGCAATACATGATAAGTTACTTACAAGCATCAGTGCTGGAATAATATACATTGTTTCTGAATCGTTACATATTGCTAATTCGGAAAAAACAAACAAGAAAATTAACAGAACTTGATCCCATAATACTAGCAAACAGTAATTTTGTATTGATAAGTAGGAAGTAATTGGGTGTATCCATTGGAATAAATACTACGTATTACATGTATCTCGTCAAAATATGAAAACTAAAAGCGTACGTAACTACGCAACCCTTCCGACGTTCACGTCGAATCTTGTTCTGGTTTGGGTTTTGGCGAGTGATTTCGATTTCGGGCATTTCGTTTTTTCCGCCAAACCCAGCCAGCCCACGTATTTCGCCCTGGGGGTTGTGTCAGCACCCGAAAGTCCCAAATTGCAGGTGCGCTACTTTTCAAAGCTTGCACACTGCACTTCGTCAAGTTTTAAAAGCATGACCCACGCGCCTCGCAATTTGGGACTCGGGCTTTAAACAGGATTTGCTTGCACACTTCACAAGAATATCTCTAGCTGGCTAAATGCACATCATTGGCACTACACATATTACACTCCTGCACATCATTCTTGCAGCTGCTTCAGCAGCGTCAAAAACAAATGAACGTGGCTCCCCTGTTTCTCCACATCACCTGTGCCTCTTAACGACGGCTCTGCTACTTTCACAAGCTCGTTCTTGGAAATTCCATCTGTTGTTTTTCCACCATCCGCGACCACAATGTCGGAGCTCTGCGCAGTGGCACTCAATTGCGGCGACGATGTGGAAGCAACTGACTGGATGGCCTGAGACAGGAACGTGGTGACATTCTCCTTGTGTGCACGGCCGAGCGATACTGCTGCCTCAGCTGCCGTTTTCATCAAGGATGGCCTTGAATCGCTGCTGCTGCTGCTGCTGCTGCTGCTGCTGCTGCTGCCAGTGCAGAAAGCATGAGTCAGTTCTTCTCCCCCACACCCCCCTTCTGCCAGCACTGCCATGAGCACCACCATCACGTCACATGCCACTGACCTCAACGCCACTCCGCCGCCTTCCCTCGACCTGTCGGATTGCGCCACCTCTGCAATCCACATCAGCACTGCCATCCGCACTCGCTCTCTCACAGAAGGTGCCACACCTGAGGATGCTGATGTGGCAGTGTTGCGGGTGCTAGTGGATGCTGACGTGGACTGGGAAAGAGTTGGAGGTGGTGATGGAGTCATTGTGGAAGCGTGAGAGAGTGGGTGTGAGGAAGAGGGTGAGAGGGAGTGTGGAACTGAGGGTGACGGGAATTGTGTGTGCGGTTGGTCTTGGGTAGAGGATTTGGGAGTAAGGAGGAGATCTGAACGGGACATGGGACGGAGGCGGTTTGTTCCATTAGGTTCGGTTGCCGAACCTGATGCCCTAGGCAAGAGGTGGGAGAAAGCAGCTTTGGCAGCAGGGGAAACGAGAGAACTGGAAAGCGTGGAGGGTGTCCTTGCTGCTGCTGACGTGGCTTGTCCTACTGCTGATGTGGCCATTCGTAAGATTCCACTTTCAGAGCTGTTTGAACCTTCAGGTTCGGTAGCGAGGCTCGGCGACGCCATCGAACCAGAGTCTGGTACGGGCCTGAGGGTGAGCAGCCTGGTGAGATCCACGGGGCTTGGATTGGTGAGACGCCGAGAGGAGACAGAGGCGAGGAAGGGGGACGAGTGAGAGGAGTGAGAGGAGGGAGAGGAGTAATGGGAGGGAAGAGAGGGACCCTGCAGGAGCAGGGCCGCCATGAGAGGCCAGGAATCTTCCCGGATCTTTCTGGCCATGAAGGCATCGTCACACGTGGTGGAGAGAGCTGTGATGACGTGGATGGACGAGATGATGAGCTGGCAAAGAAAAGGGGAGAGGGGAACGGTGAGGAGGAGAAAGAGGAAAAGAATGAATGTGTGACGATGCAAAACACTTATCTCCGCAACTGATAAATAGAGGGGCCAGGGGGAAACAGGAAACGGGAGGCAAGAGCACAGAACAACATCAAAGATCGAGAAGAAAGGGTCAGGCAAAAATTATCAACCTTGACAACGATGGGCACCGTTTCAGACTGCTTGAGACTGTTTAGGACTGCTTACAGCAGGATGGCTTCTCTTGAGGCCGGAGACAGCGTGGGGCCAGATCATGTGCACACGTGGCAGCAGCCAATTGGTCTCGTCCCTCACAGCATCCGCCACCTTGAGAGCATCCTCCGTGTCATGCATGGCTGCCACGTCGTCCTGGAGAGATGCCAGGTCAGCTCGTAGCCCTGCCACATCATCCTCCAACCAGTCCAGCAAACCGCTGCCCGGACCTCCACCCAAACCTGTCCCCGAACCTAAGACCGGACCTGTGCCCAAGCCTGAGTCCTGCAGTGCAGTGAGGTGCGTCTTGGCTCGTTTCACTCTCAACCGAACCACCTCCCTCACTGCCTCAAGCTCATTCGCCCTCGCCCGCTGCGCCACATCAGCTGCTGACATGGCGGCCACTGACGCCTGTGCCACGTCAGCAGCGAGCAACGCCAGCTCAGCATCGCGATTGGCCATGAGCGGCCCACAGGCCTCCAGGCAGGCGGCAGCCAGCTGTGCTTGCATGGCCACCACTCTCGTGCGATCCGCCAGCTGACTCAGCGCATGCCGCACACTCCACTGCTCCCTCTCCTCCCTGCCCGCGCGCTTACTTGCCACACCAGCTGCATTCGCCCCCTCCTGTGCCTCCTCCTTGTCATCTCCCTCTGACTCTGTATCGGACCCTAAGTTGTCCCACTCCTCATCACTCGAATTCCCCTCTCCCTCCCCCTCTTGCTCCTTCAACGTCTCGTCCTCCTCCTCCTCTTCCTTCCGCTCTGCTGCCTCCTTCCCCTCACGCACGGCGGCAGCAGCAGCTTGCATGCGGCGGGTGAAGAAGGCTCGCACGGCTGCTGGTGGGGCAGACAGAGTTACGGGGGTACAACAAGCCACAAGCACATGGAGCGGTGGAGAACAACAGGACAGCAAAACACGCACTGCAGGGAGCTCAAAGAGTCAGATTGAAGTTGTGAGAAGACGGGGGAATGTAGGTGGGTGACGGGCTTGCACACCTGGATCAGCTGGTGTCTTGAATTCTCTGGCAGTGGCACTGTCTGCGCCACCACCACTGCTGCCGCCTCCACCACAGGAGCTGCTGCTGCTACTGCAGCTACTGCCCCCTTGAGAAGCAAGCCGGGGTGCACTGCCGGCAGGAGAGGATGCGAGACTGGCAGCATCAGAATCAGGGCCAGCACGGTTGATGTGCCGGTTAGGCTTGTTACGACTGCTCAGAGGGTGAGGTTTGCTCCTCCCCTCCTCACCACCACATCCCTCCTTGGCTCGCCGCAGCTTCCGAAGCTGCTTGCGCCGGGCCCGCTCCTCCCTCCGGAGCACCGCTATTGCTGCCGAGGCTGCAGCTTCGGCGTCGGCGCGCTTTGCTGATGTGGCGACGGCACATGCTGACATCAGCACACGGAGCACCTGAACAAGTGTGACTATGTGGGGGGCGTGCTGCAAACGAGCGGTGATTTGGAGAGAGGCCAGGACAGAGCGAATCTGTGGGCGAGGGAAGAAGGATGGGGGAGGGGGGGAAGGGGGTAGGGGGAAGTGGGAAGGGGGAAAGTAAGGCGGAAGGGGGGAGGGAGATGGGGTTGGAGGGAAAGCCCGAACAGTGCGTATAAGCAGTTAATGAGACCTCACTCACAGCACTGGACTGCTACCACAAGACAAAAGGAAAATATTATGAAATGTCATTACATTATGTTCAATTGATAGGCAGCAGCAGGTAGGAGTGAGTGATAGCAACATGCTTCAAAAAGTAAGTCATGAGCAGCATGGTTACCGGGTGGATGATGAGGGGCAGCATGGTTACCGGGTGGATGATGAGGGGCAGCATGGTTACCGGGTGGATGATGAGAGGCAGCATGGTTACCGGGTGGATGATGAGGGGCAGCATGCTCTCAAACGCCGATGGCAACACCAAAGGCGCTGTCGCTGCCACTGGCACCGCTGACGCTGCTGCTGCTGCTGCTGCATGCTCCACCGGCAGGGCAGGGGCGACATGCACCACAGGGGCGGCAGTGGTGGCGGGCACGAGGGGCAGGAGGTGTATGAGGGCGAGCAGGAGGCGCGGCGTGGAGGGGTGGCAGTGGAGGGTGGAGAGGCCGTGGCACACAGTGGCAATGGCATAGTCCATGTTTCCTGTTACCAACGCTGCCACCTGCGTAAGAGGGAGGGAAATTCGCACGGGGGACACAAGCAGGTCGTGACAGGCGTGAGGGCGGGCCGTGGCACACAGTGGTAATGGCATAGTCCATGTTGCCTGCTACCAACGCTGCCACCTGCATGGGGGGAGAGAGATGCAAAGAGGTGGCACAAGCAGGTCGCAACAGGCATGGGGGCATGGCGTAGGTGTTGTGACGGTTTGGGCCACAGCAGCAGCAGAGGCAAGGGTGTGAACGGGAGGAGAAGGAGTGGGAGAAGGAAAGAATAGCAGGTGACGATGACGTACCGAGGGGTAACCAAAGGATCGGGTGATGGAGGAGAGGACATGTGCAGCAGCGGAGGAGACACGGGCGTGGGGAGAGGCGAGCGAGCGCAGCAGCGCAGGGAAGGCACGGCGCAGCGCACCGGAGTCTGTGGCTTGTGATTGGCCGAGAACTGAGAGCGCTGCTGCGAGGGAGAGGAGGAGCACCTGAAGGGAGGAGGGGGGAAGAAAAAGAAGAGAAATGGGAAAGATGAAAAGAGAAAGACTTACACAGGATGATACCAGAGCCATGCTATTCCCCTTCCTGAATATCTGCTCCCCACTCACCGCTTGCAGGTTGGCATTCTCATTAAGCCTGCGCATCATCCCCCTGCGCTCCTCCTCACCCATCCATTCCCCCCCAGCACCGCTCTGCACCGCTCTCCCTCCCCCTTGGGTCACATCCACAGGCAGCTCCCACAGGTCCTCGTTCAACAGCTCTGCCAACACTGACTGCACCACCGGACCAACCACGGCATGCCACCTGTCCTCCCTTTGCGCCGCTGCCTTGAGCTGCTGAGCTCTCTGCTCCTCTTCCTCCATCTTCTCCTCCACCTGCACTGTTCCACTTCCCAGCGCTGCCACATCCCCCCCACCGGGAGCATCCTCCCACGGCCTGCCAGTCATGCCAGCAAGTGCTTCGCTCAGAGCCAACAGAAACGATGAAGCTGCCCGAGCAGCAGAAACCTGCCCTAAAAGGTCCTGCTCTCCCTCTCTCCGTCCCTCTTCCTCCCTCCTTTCAGCCCCTTCCTTCTCCCCATCCGTCCTCCCCTTTTTTCTCCTCCCCTTCACCTTCCCTCGACCTCCCTCCTCCTTCCCGTGCCTCCTGCTCGTCTGTCCCTTCTTCCCTCCCTCAGCCCCTTTCCCCATCCCCTCAGCATCCACCCATTCCTTTTTCTTTGCCTGTCCACGCCTCCGTTCTCTCCTCTCCTTCCGCCTCTCCTGCCCAATCCTCCCCACAGCCTCCCGGAGGCCTTCCAGAAGTGGCTGGAAAAGGGCGGGAAGAGCCCCCATTGGCTGCTGCCACGTCGTCAACGCACCAGCAACACCACCAGCACCAGTATCAGCAGCATCAGCGGCATCAGCAGCAGCAGCAAGGCGGGCGAGCACTCGTAGGAAGCGGCAGAACCAGAGGAGAGAAGGGGCAGTAGCGTCTACAGCGAGCGCCCCTTGCAGCACACGCACTGAGGGCTCTGATGCTCCACTGAGGTCAGATGATCCATTCAGGTTGTGCCGCCCCTTGCGATGATCCAATACCAACCAGAACCACTGTCGCCATCGCTCCTCCTCGCTCTCCTCTCCTGTGGCTGCAGAGCGCAGCGCTGATGGAACACCTGGGCTGGGCGGCATAACACCTGGGGATTCACCTGTTGCAGGTGCTGAGCCGAGCAGTGGTGGAAGAGCGAGGGCAGGAGCAGGGGAGGACTCGAGCGTGTGGGGGCTTCCGGGAGCAGAGGGCAGATGCAGAGAGATGGCAGCGGAGAGACGTGTAGAGAAGGCCTGGCGTGGTGGGAGAGAGACGGGGAGTGGTATGGGTGGGAAGAAAGGATGGGACGATGACAAGGGAGGGCGTGCAAAAGAGGGGTGATACAAGTGGAGTGGATTGATGGGGAGAGCATGTAATGCAAGAGGCTCACCGGGTCCAGGATGCGGTGGGCAGTAGGCAGAGGCCCTGCTGTGATAAGACCCGCTGCGAGCACACGGAGAGAGACCGTGGTGGCTTGCAGGTGCGAGGCGGAGGAGACAGGGGAGATGGTGGAGGGGAGGGTGGGGGATGGAAGAATGGAGGGGTGGAGGGGCAGGGAGGTGGGTGGGAAGTGAGCGGTGGGCGGGGCGGGAGTTGTGACGGACGCCATGTGCCTGTTGTGGGGTTGGGAGGGGGAAGGTTGGAGGAACAGGGGGCATTTGCACGTTGTGGGTCAGCCAACTCAAGAAAGAGAGGTGAGCGCGCGCACCTGTACATGCATGCGAGCAAGTGCAGCAAATAAGCATGCTCTCGAGCAGACAACACTACAACAGCACTCCTTGTGGGCACAAGACGCACAAGACGCACCTCTCCACCAGCTCCGCCAGATTGTCAGTAGCCACCTCAATGCACCCTGCTCTCGTGCACTGCTGCCGCACTGCCCCACCAGTAGCCGCTGCTACTGATGGTAATAATGATGGTGGTGCTGGCGTGGGGTGGGTGATGACGACTCGGGCAAGGAGGCGGCGAGCAGAGGAGGCTACAGAGGGCCAGTGGTCAGAGGCGAGGAGGAGCAGGCACTCCTGCAGGCGATCGCGTAGCACAATGAGGTTTCATGGGGAACAATGAAAGGCACAGAAGGGTTTATAAAGAGGGGCAATGAAGGTAGAATGGTGCACCTGTAGGAATTACTCTTCTCCCTCACCCAAAGTACTGGCGAGCAGCGGATGTGTGCGAGAGACATGTTCCGAGAGCAAGGAGGAGGAGAAGCGAGTGCAGCGACGGGTGCGAGATGGTGCATGTGCTGGTGTTGGTGCATGTGCTGGTGTTGGTGCATGTGCTGGTGTTGGTGCATGTGCTGGTGTTGGTGCATGTGCTGGTGTTGGTGCATGTGCTGGTGTTGGTGCATGTGCTGGTGTTGGTGCATGTGCTGGTGTTGGTGCATGTGCTGGTGTTGGTGCATGTGCTGGTGTTGGTGCATGTGCTGGTGTTGGTGCATGTGCTGGTGTTGGTGCATGTGCTGGTGTTGGTGCATGTGCTGGTGTTGGTGCATGTACTGGTGTTGGTGCATGTGCTGGTGCTGGTGCATGTGCTGGTGCTGGTGCTGTTCACCAGAGCTCTTCCCAAACAGCGACCGGATGGACAGACAGAGGGCACAGAAACTTAGGGACTCACGAGCAGCAGAGGGCGGGAGGCGGAGAGGGAGCAGGAGCAGCGCTGTAGCAGCTCCCCCAGCAGGTCGGATAGGGCCCAGCGGACCTTGGGGGCGGGGAAGTGCAGCAGCTGTGGGGGGGGCGGGGGGAGGAAGAAAGGGGGGAACCGAGGGAGGTGTGATGTCCAAGTTGGGGAGGCAGTGGGAAGCGCGAGGAAGGGGGAGGAGTATGAGCGTGGTGGGTGGTTGCAGAGCGAGGACGGGATTCTGCAGGCCAAACGGACCAACGCTGCAGGTGCGTGTGGGGAGGCGAGGTGAGCGCTGGCCAGGCGAGGAATGGAGGACGGCAGCAGCACGGTGCGGTGAGAACTCACCTTGGGAAGCACTTTCTGCAGCAGCACGAGCACCTTGGCGCCTGTCTCCCTGCGCCACGCCTCGTCCCTCTCCACCCGCAGCACCACCATCCCTCTCCCCACCCCGCCTCCTGCCCCTCTCACTCCCCCGTCTCCTCCCCTACCACCCTCCCCTGCATCTCCTGCTCCCGCACGCCCCACACTCGTTCCCGCGTGTGCTCGTAAGGAATTACTCTCGTCTTCACGCCGCCTCATCACACTCACTTCCCTCAGTATCACTGTGCCTTCCCCCATCCCTGCTGTGCCGCTTGCCTTTTCGCCCGGCAGCTTCCCTTCCAACTCCACCCCGTGCTCTCCCAACCGATCCTTCTCTCCTTCCTCTACCCCCCTTGCTTCCACACTCTCTCCCGTTTGCCCTCCTTTCCTGCCCTCCCCTCTCCGCTCCCCCATGCGACCCACCATCTGCTGCAGCATGCTCAAAGCTCGCTCCTCCTCTGTCTCGCCTCTCTCAATCCCCTCCTCATTCTCCTCCCTATAAGGAACCCCTCCATGTCCATCCTCGCTATAAGCATCCCCCAGGACCAGCACTAGCGCTTGCGACAGCCCAAGCAGGGCCTCGGCCACCGCTGAGGGGTCTGCTGCGGCGCCACGTGTGAGCGGCTCACTGGAGCGCGGGGAGAAGGGGGCGAGGGCGGCGCGGGAGAGACCACTGAGGATCCCGGGAAGGAAAAAGGCGAGCGCATCGGGTGTGTGCGCCTGAGGGTGTGATGGGCGGGGGGTGGGGGGGTTGAGGGGGAATGGGGTGCGGAAAAGGGCAGGGAGCAGTGGTGAATAGGGGAAAGAGGAGTTGAGGGGGGAGAGCACGGATCTGGCGCAGCAGTGAACACGCTCACTCATGGAATGGAACCATGCACACGCCTTGCCACATGCAATGCAACCACGCATACATGCATGCATGCTGTGTGTGGACACACCCCACGGCTCACCACAGCCACAAGGAGGCGCACGGCTCGCAGTGACTCCACCCGGACCTGCTGGCTGCCCCTCGTGCCCAGTTGAGCCTCTGCCTCTGCTGCCTGGGGTCAGGCACATGGGGAAGGGGAGAGAGGGGACATACACAAAACAGTAGACACGTCGGTGGATCAGCTATTGAACCCAGCAGCCAGCACGAGGTGATACAAAAAGGCGCCTTACAACAGAACGAATGAAGGGAGCCACATCCGTCCTTTGATACAGTACGTGGCGATCGCACTAAAGAAAAACAGCATCAGTTGAGCAACACCACCATGTACGCATTTTACCTTGAAAGACAGGCAGTGCCCTGGGTGGCGCACTCACAGAGAGCATGTTAGAGAGTAGGTGACCCAGCAAAGGCGCTGCCTCCTGCTCCTGTAACACACCAGCCACACACTTGCTGCTCGCATTGCTATCACTGCCACTGCTGCTGCTACTGCTGGTGCTCGTGTTGTGGCCGCTGGTGGTGGTGCTGCCAGCAGCAGCGGTGGTGCAGCAGCAGGAGGAGGGCGAGCAGCGAGGGAGGTGGGAGAGGAGGGCGGAGAGGCAGCGCAGTGCCAGCAGCCGCGCCTCCTCTGACTGCGCAATCCCCGACATGCTTGCAAGTGCTGCCGATGCTGATGGTGGGTGTGACGGTGGGTGAGACGCTGATGGAGTCACCGCTCCGGATGATGGGCTGGGAGCAGGGCGATCCGGGACGCTTGCGTTAGTATTTGAGGTGGGAGGTGGTTGGGGAGTGGGGGTGGTGGCAGAGGCGAGGAAGCGGAGGAGAGAGGTAGCCTGGTCGTGTGATCGCACGGCGCAGCGGGTCAGCGCCACGTGCATGCAGCTGAGGGCTGACTCCACCACTCGCTGCCTGCCACGTGGCGCGATGTCAGCCGCACGCTCGTCCTCTGTGCTCCTGGGCCGCCCCTTGCCTGGTGCAGCTAAAGCAGAAACTTTGGAAGAAGCAGCAGTGGGAACCATAGAAGCGAGGGAGGCGGGGGCGGGGGAGGGAATGGTGGCAGGTGCAGAGGGAGTGGCGGTGGGGGTGGGTGGAGACAGCACGAGCAAGAGTGGGAAGAGGAGGAACCTGGCAATGGAGAGGGAGAAGAACGGCGGAAAAAAAACACAGGGAAAAAAGGGAAATGGGGGATGCAGATAGTGGAAGGTGATATCCTGGTTGATAAATAGTTGCGTTGCTGGCGGTGACGAGGGAGGGAAACCAACGGATGCGACATAGGGCGGTGCATGCATGTGGCTGTGAAGACACAAGCAAGCTTACTCAGCAGATTTTATAAGTTGAGAGGAATTAGTTAGTGATCCACTAGCTGTGACTCTTCACTCACTCGAGGCACGCTTGAAGCCCCCTCACAGGCACGTCCTTGCTCCCAATCTCCTCCTCCAATCGCTTGATGGCACGTGGCAGCTGCTGGTGGTCCCCCCGCGCGTCCACCACAGCCATGCAGAGCGGATGCACACGGGTAAACGCAGCTTGCGCCTCGTCTATGGGGGCTGCAGCAGGTGTGGCGTGTGCGGCTTGTGGCGTATGAGAGGGCGATGCAACAGGTGCATCCACACCAGCAGCAGCAGCAGCACCAGCAGCAGCAGCACCGTCACCACCGTTGCTGTCAATAGTACCAAGACTGGCCCCACTAACACGGCTAGTTTGACCATCCTCTTCCTTCCACGTCCCATCCTTTCCTCCCGCCACCGCACTCTCATTCAGCCCACCACTACCCTTCTCCCTCCCCCCCCCGTCCTCCCCATGCTCCTGCACCTCCCGGCTCCCCACCTCCTTGCCTCCCCGCCCATCCCTTCCACCACCACTACCACCACTACCACCACCACCCCCCAGCAGGAACCCCCGTCTCAAACCCGCGCCTCTCAGCCTGCCCTTGCCACCACTTCGCTGCCCTGAACCTGAGCCCTGGTGTGCCTTCCCCAGATGCACCCTCCCCTGCTCCACTCCCTGAGCTCCCTGAGCCTCCACCACCCCTGCAGTCTTCTCCTGCAGACCAGCACGGGCGAAAGAGCCTGTGGAAAAGGAGCATGCGCCTTCGAATGACAAGTCGGAGCGGGTGCTCTGCTTGCCATTGCTGCTGCCACTGGTGGTAACAATACTACTGCTGCAGGTGCTGCTGCTGATGGCGCTCGTACCTCTGCCCGGCTCTGGCCCTTCGTCTGCACTCGGCACAAACCCCTCCCCCAACGTCAACCCCTTCAACCCCTCCACCCCCTCCAGCCCCTCCAGCCCCTCTATTTCCTCCTTCAGCCCCGCCACCTCATCAAAGAACGTCCTCCATTCCTCCTCCCCTCCCCCCCTCCCACTATCCCCGTCCTCCCTTGCCCCTCCCCGCCCCCCATCTCTCCCCTCGCCCTTGATGCTCCCATGGGTCCACTCAGAGTCCGCTTCCCCGGCCTCTCTATCCCCGCGTCCACCCCACCGCGTCACCAGCTCTCGCTCCAGCTCCTTGGCCGCATCGAAGAACGTCCCACCCTCGTCTCCCCCTCTCGGACCTCCCACACGATCACTCCCGGGGAGACCGGTTAGGCTTCCACTACTGTCACTTTCCTTCGAGTGAAGGCTGGTGGGCAAAACGGCAGGTGTGATTGTATCAGCTGTGGGCTCCCCGGCAGGTGGAGTAGGTGCATCAGTGGTGGCAGCGGTCATAATGCAAGGATCCGCAAGAGCAAGAGCAGCAGGGGCTGGAGAAGGAGCAACATCATAAGCAGCGGCAACAGCAGTAACAGCAGCAGCAGTAGTTGCAGCACCAGCAGAAGCAGCAGTAGTCGCAGCAGCACCAGCAGAAGCAGCAGTAGTAGCAGGAGTGAAGGGGTCCTCGTCCAGTTGCCTGGCAGCCATGGCAACCATCTGCTTCAGTCGCTCATCCGCATCCGCCACATCATCCACCTCACCCGCCAGGTCAGCATGACCCTTCGCCAGCTCATCAACCACATCCATTCCACCCACATCATCACCCTCACCCATCCCCATCCACCTCCCCACGCCATCGTCCTCCAACTGGCCCATCTCTCTGCTGCGCTGCTGCTTCTGCTGCGCCAGCAGCACCTTCTGGCTCTGCTGCTCCAGAGCCGCTAGAAGCCGCTTCACCTCCTCCGCACTCCAGCACGCCCCACCCACACCACCACCACCACTGGCAGGCGCGGCACCGGCGAACGCCCCACCAGCAGTGCTGTTCCTGCCTGCTGACTGCCCTGCAGCATCACCACCAGTAGACCCAGCGGGTTTAGAAGCTTCAGCAGGTTGGAATGCAGAAGCAGCTCCTGAAACGGCAATAGACCCACCACGAGGCCATGTACTGTCAAATCCCATTCCCATTCCCATGCCCAATTCCCCGCCTTCCCGTGCCTGTCCGCTCTCCTCCTCCCCCTCCCCATCGCCCTCGTCCATCTCACCCGCCCAGCTCCCCACCACCTCGTCATCACACCCCGCACCTTCGGTATCGTCAAACGTCCATGCATCCCCCTCAATAGAATCACCCGCGTTTGTGTCACACTGTTCGCTCCGCGAGTCCCCCACTGCAGCGTGCGAATCACCCCAACGGAGTCCACCCTCCCACGGACTGCCCTCCACGGGCAGGGGATTTGACCAAACTCCCTCGCCTTCCATTGCCACTGGTATGTAAGCAGCCTTTGCCTCCTCGCTCTGCCGCTCGTTAGAGCCACCCTTGCTCTGGCAAGCCCTGCTGACGGTCACCCCGCTGTCGCTTCTGTCTGTTACTCCGGAAGCTTCCTGGGTCCCATGCTCAGAGAACCAGTCTTGGTCTTCCGAGAACTGCAGCTCAGAATGCATTTCAGTCGACAGGCTGATCCACTCCTTCCACTCCTCCTCCTCAACCCCTCTTCCGACACTCCCTAGCGCTTCAGCTCTCTCCATTTTCTGGTCAGGCACCGATCCTATGGGAATCGGTTCCGAGCCTGGAAGGAGGAAGCCTCGGCGGAATCCGGACGTGCCGAACTGCTCTGGAACGACTCGCGGCGCAGACCGTGTGACGGGACCATCGATCGCCTGAGAAGATTCGACGTCTCCCGGACTGCCTGCAAGATAGTCAGTACGCTGGCATTGAGAATGTTGCTCTCGGATGTGCTCCTGCTCATGGTGTCGAGCATGCCCCAGGTCGCACTCTTGGGTAGGTTTGGGGGAAGACTCGGAAGCACGAGCGGCGAGAACTGGTTCGAGTGGGGGAAGCCAAGGCAAGCCGTCGATCTCTTCGATCTTGAACTCGTCGGGCGATAATTCAGCGGTGTGGAGCGCCGGAATCGACAGCTCCGCCTCGCTCAGCGGACCTAAGCTGCTGATCGCTTCGAAGATGGAAGTTTCGTCGTCGGCCATGGCAGGAGAAGATAACTGAAAGAAACTGAGAGGAATCGAGAATGAACGAGAACTGAAATTTGAGCCCGATCGCACCTTGGCTTCGTGTTACTTCCAGACACGGTCTGGACTAACACCAAGCCGACAGCCCTGGGCTTTGTTGGCTCTCATCCTTACGCGTGTGCTGCTGGATCGCAACATATGATAATTTTCCAAGGATGCGTCAGCGTCAAGAACTCGGTTGGGAAAAGGCGGAAGGGGAAAGGAGGGGGTTGGGGTGCGGGGGAGCGCGAGGAATAGGTGGGGAAAAGGTGGTGCGTTACCAGCATGTTTTCGCCAGAGTGACGAAGGCGTTCTCAGAGCAGGTAACAAGTTTGGAGTTGAGTTTCGCAGCTACAGTCGCAGCTGCAGGTCTCTTCTCCACCTCCGCCTTCACCACCCAGCCAACGCCATTTTTTGGTTCAGCGAATCTTTTCTTCCCCCATCACTAGCCACAAAAGTTTCTTCTCACCACGCGTTTCTGCTCCTTGCATCTGGCTTCTTCTTTCATATTCCTTCCACCGCGTCGACCTTTTGTCAGACCGTTCGTGTTGGCGCATTTTACGCTCCCAGACAAGTGGGTGCTGGTTTTGATCTGAGACTTGGCAAGCTCTTTCGTGGTTACTTTCCGCCGGGCTCCTTACCGTCTAACCCTAGTCAGGATAGTCCCGTCCCGACATGGATTTTTTCGCGGGAAAGGCTGCTGAGAAGCAGATTAACGGCGTTGGAGAAGCAGTCAATGTGCGTGCGGGGTAGTGCTATATTCGAGTTACCACTGATACATAAGCTTTGCATTTCCTTATGTCCAGCCGGGGCGTGTTCTCTTTGATTCTGTATAAAGAGTATCCGCATTGCCTTCATGAAACGGTCGTTGGATCATTCAGCAATTCCACGTGTGTTGCTGCGTGTTCCCGTGCTCTCTGTGTTTCCAATCTCGTTTGTCACAGTCGATGGTCAATGATGCATCAGAAGCCGTCTCCAACTGGTGGGAAGGTCTCATGGGTACGAATAGCAGTGGAATTACTTGCTGAATCGAAGTGCCCGCGACTATGGATGATATGTTTGTTTCTTGTTCTGCTTTTCTTCTGACATCCACCTTCGTATACCATCAAATCCTTTCCTTTTTTCCCCGTGTCTCCATATACGTATCCTCATGCTGCCACTCGTTCCATTCCAGGCAAAGTGCAGAAGCCCCTGCCAGAGATCCTGGAGCAGTACGAGTTCCCTGTGGGAATTTTCCCAAAGAACCATGTCAAGTACGTCCTTAAGCTTACTGACTCCAGCAAACCCGAATCAGGGGGCGTCCTGGAGGTACATTTCACAGGGGGAATGGAAGTCAAGCTCAGTGACGGGACGGTTCTGAAGTATGCAAAGAAGGTTGTGGTCCGGATTACTCCCAGGGAAATGGCAGGAGTTGTGGGTTTGAAGCTGAAGGGCATCACAGGGTACACTGAGATTAGTGCAGTCTCTGTTGACACTGTCAAGGAGAACGTGCATTTGCAAACACGGGTGCGCAAGACTAAGCCGCTGCACCTCTTCAAGAGCGCAAGGCAGGGCGTTGAGGTACTTGATGTTAGCTGAAGTGCATCTGCGAATTGATCTAAGGTTATGTCATGAATATGTTCGTGCAGTTTGATCAAATGGTATTGAACTGGTGTAAGGGAACTAGAGGTTTGATCATATACCGCAGGTCGGTTTCTTTTCTAGCTTCCTGTTCATCTTAGGAATCTGCACAAGAAACATATGACCAGCCTAGATACACTACCGTCTAGCTTGAGAAAACACTTACTGTAACAAGGAAAACCATTTTTTACAAGATAAGCACATCACGGTGCCTACAGGACATTGCAGGTGGCAGGTGGCAGGGATAAACAGGAATCTTGCTTGGTTAAGGTCCGCCCTCCTATCCAAAGTTGAGGAAGCGGGCTCTGAACAGCAGATACAAGTACTACTACATACCATTGGCCTGATGGCTAGTCAAAGTTGATCCCGAATATCCGGACTTTGTCAAGAGCTGGAAGCTTGGCAATGACAAGTGCAAACACAAGCACTGTGTTGATGACGAAGAAAAGCTCAGAGTTGGGATCATGCCGCATGTAAAAGGATGTCACCAGGTATCTGAAAGGGTAAAAAGGAAGACGATTAAGCACATACGGAGATTTACACACGACTGAGAGCCTTCCAGGTTACCAGCAGTAGCAAACGTTGAAATGTTTCCATGACACTTACAATAGGACAGGGACCATGGTCAGAAACTTGCGGTTGGGAGTGAGCTGCCTACGGCCATCAATCTGCTCCCACCAGGTGAGCTTATCGTACAATCCCTGGTCTTCAGCGAAGGGCGAACCTTTCTTCCAGTGGAAAAGGTAGAAGGTCACCTGCACAGGAATAGGCACATCCGACTCTTCATTAATGATACGCAAAATACAGCCTTTTAAGTCGCCAGAAAATCTATAAAATCATTCCTTGAAAACCTACTTCTCTAGTGTTCTTTTGCCTACGACAAATACTACGCTCACTTACCACGAAATGGATAATATTGACAGCAGCGCAAGCAGAAGCCACACTGCACTGAAAGATGATGAGGATTAAGAGCCACACTAATACGACAATGATTAAGTATGTCGTCCAGACTCCAGGATACGAAAACCACGATGTATTCTTATTGACGTCAATAGGTGGAGCAGTCGGAACTAGGAACGGTGAATGGTATTGAGAAGCTGGGCTTCTCATAGGGCTTGAGGTCTGCGTCCTTGCTTTTATGAGACTTTTGCGGGTAGGACTGTCACACGCATCGGCACTCGCGTCAATCTCATCTGGGACGGATTCTACTCTCCACAAAGGCATAGCGCCTCGATGCCAACAATCGACGAACTTGCGAGTCGCTAATTACAACCGTGCCTAAGTCGAATCCAGAATCCAGAATCAAGATGGTGTGCACGCACCAAGGTCAGCCAGGGCGAGGTAGACTCAGGAATGAAGGGAAAAAGGCTTCACCCTGGTGACTGACTAGGTGGCCCAACAAGGGGTACTTTTGTGGGTGGAACGGGGGAGTGGGAGGCTTGCATCGTTTCTTGGGTTCCTCTGGAATAGCATATTCGATATGGTGCACTTCACTATTCACTCAGAACGGTTATACTACATTCTGCACATTAAAAGTACTATACCAGTACGGGCCAATCTGATTGTTGGTTTGCCTTGTATTGTTGAGTAGCTCATTATGTAGTCTCCTCCAATAAAATTATATTCGATTACATGTCATATGAATCAACTGATAGCTGTTCGATTTCCTATATCATTTTCCCCTCTATTTCATAAAATACATTTTCAATCATTGAACGTTCCGTAATATACACATACATACCATGCTGCGATTTTTATTGTTAGGTAATTCAATAAGTTTTGTTGACGCCCAGTTTACGAAACATTGTGTTGTATCGGCACATTACTACTGAGGCGTGTCAGACTTCCACGATGCAGGCGGTTCGAGAGTTTCGCGGTGCGGTTTCCCTCTGCCCGCCAGCCACTGCCGTCAAATATTTGGGCGACGAAACCATCCACTTCCCCAGAAACCGACAGGCAGGAAGGCTAGCATGACCAAAGAAGGAAGCACCACCATCATCATCCGTGCTAGCACATCCATTATCCTTCCCACATTTGTGGGCCAACTGACAGATTCGAGGTGCACTTGGGGCGACTTCGAGGGTACAGCATATGTCTCGACGCTCAAGCACCTGTTCCCCCGACGTCGTGCCGCCGTATCAGCGAGCACGCTCAACCAGCGTGTATGTGTTGTGTCTGCGGAACCCGAGACCATTGTAGCCGTTGCCAGTGAGGCTGGTAGACTACTAGGCGATGTACCTTGACCTGGTATGTTCAGGACAGGACCATGCGGCCGCTGAAAGTATCCAAGCTCTACGAGTTGGGAAAAAAGGGCGTTAATGTGATTAATTTCGACATGCATTTCTCTTTGGCGGCCATTGGCCGGGGTCTATGCATAGAACTCGCAGGATTCTCAATCGGCAGCCTGTAGTACTCCTCATCGGAACATTCAGTTGATATAGACAGCCCGAAACTAGATACTATAGTCGCGTGTGACCATCGCCACTGAGCATTCTAGGAACTTACGAAAGTTCTCAGCATGATGAAGCACGGCAGCCATCAGCGGCTTCTCAGGCCAATTCCATTGTCCCGCACGGCCGGGAAACAAAAAGGCTCGATTCTCTTTGAGTTAAGCGATTTAGTGTTTCGATGCAGTCCGTTCGTTCTTCTAGTCATCCTGGTCGCCTTGGTCGTTATGAGATCCCAGCACTACTCGGCTCAACAGGTGCAACCAGTGGTGGAGATAATTAGGTCAGCTAACGAGGCTGCGCACAGCGGAGACGGCGTGGATAACGACAGCTTGCTCGTGAGAAATCACGCTGACGCCACTGTTCTCGCAGAGGTAAGCGCCGTGGGGTAACAACCAGTAACACAAAGTGCCATAACGGAAACTGTTCACAATTAATGTTGGGAGATTTTTTGTGGTACTTCAAGAGCACATAGTAAGTGATGCGCAGTGCGGGTGAGGAGGTTTGACGTTCAGTTCGCCAGCAATCATGTTCATGATTCTCCTATTTTGCTCTTCCTGCGGTGCTCGTCTCAACATCTTCACCCATTTTCATCGCAGGGTGACCTCCCGAGTCGTCTGTACTCAGTGTGCGCGGCTTACGCCTTCGCCTCGCTCACGCAAACACCGACGGTTGCGCTGTGGCCCTCGGACGCACACATGCCGCATGTGCGCTTTCACCATCTCTTCTCCACTCGTCATAACGAAGAATACAGTACCGTGGACAGCGCAGACGGCGCCAAAAGTACGAAAGATTTGAGCAGGAACGGGTGGCGGTACCTGCGCGTGAAGGATTCGACCATCGCGAGCGAGGATGTGAAGAAAGGACTCAATTCCAACCGTCGCACGGTAACCATCTGTCGCACGCCTGTCGCAAGAAACTGCGGACTCGTATCGGCCTCACAGTGTGCACGCGTCAACCCTTGATTTCGTTCGCCTCCCTTTTCTGCCACGTGCATTCGCTCCGATCTTTCAAATCTTCCCGGCTCTCAGTCCTTGTTTTTCGACATATCCTTCCTTCTTTCTGCCACGTTCAGGTGTTCCTTTCTCCATGCGAGTCCGCAGAGGAGCAGCAGCAGCAGCAGACACAGAGCAACGAGGAGACAGCAACCGGCGGAGAGGAGGGGAATGGAGCGCAGGGCAGAAGCGAGCAAGCGGAGGCGGCTCCGTTTGCGCTCTATATGCCACCAGAAGGCGTTGGGGCAAAGGTAGCAGGCGAGGGGCGCTCAGGAGCAGCAGCAGCGGGAGAGACGGCGGTGGATGCGACAGCGACAGGGAACGAGAAATAGCAGTGCCGCGGTGCGAGTACGAACGAGAAATGAATCGCTGCTTGGCGTCGCTACAGCCGTCCGCTGACGTGGCGAGACTGGTGGCGAAGGAGGAGTTGGAATCGGTGGAGGCGACTGTAGCAGTGCACCTGGACGTGAGTGCGGGCGCGGGGGAAGAGGGGAGAGAGGGGGAGAGAGGAGGGGAGAGGAAGGGAAGTGGGAGCTTCTGTACGTGTGTGGGAGTGGGAGAGGAGGGGAGGAAAGAAGGGGTATGAACGAGGAATGGGAATTTGAAGGATGGAAAATGCAGGTCTGTAGCGCTGAACGGGCTTGTAGCGCTGAACGGGCTTGTAGCGCTGAACGGGCTTGTCTCCCTCAGATCTTCGCAGGTGAGCTTGCGTCGCACTTTCAGAAGCTCACATATGCTGCGCTTGTCTCCCCTCCCCGCGCGTCAGGACCTTGCTCCCCCCGGTTGTTCCGGCTGCGCCGCCGCTAAATCAGATGCCTCCGCCGCCCTCTGCGCCATGCGCCGCATCGCCATGGAGTCTCTTAAAGACCACTCGCTGCGCTTCGTCCTCGGCTCCCCCTCCCCCGCGCGCGCCGCCAATGTGACCGCGTACTTCGACCCCCTTCGCGCGCCCCTGCTGCTTCGCGCGGGAGAGGAGCGGCGGAAAAAGTGCGCGTTTGAGCAGATAAGGGGAGCGGAGGGGGAATGGCAGGGGGAAGCGGAAGGCGGAAGCGGAAGAGGGAGGCGGCTGAACGAGGAAGGCAGCGGCGGCGCAGGGGAACAGCCGAGGGTTGTGAGAGCGGGGAGGGATCCGATTCTGCTGTGCCATCAGTTGCGGGTGTCGGAGCTCTTCACTCTCAGCCGCGCCCAGGGCTTCCTCCCTATCAACTCGTCCTCGATAGAAGCGCGTTTCGTTACAGCGCAGGGGAGGGCACGGTCGGCAGCGTTCGAGGTGGCGCGGTCGGTGTGCGAGTCGGAGGAGGTGCTCCCCATTCCGCAGCAGAAGTGGGCCAAATTCACCTTCGTCGAAGGTACGCCATGCTGACTGCCCTTGTGCCCTTGTGCCATTCATCTTTAGGCATTATGCCCTTGTCTTTCCCCGTTTTTTGTTCTCTCTCCCTGCCGTTCCTCCGCCTTCTCCTCTATCCTCTAAGCCGTCCCCTCTCGTGCTGCCCCCCATGCAAGCAGAGCATCTGGGAATGGCCTACTGCGGCATTCCCGAGGTGGCATCCACCACGTGGCTGCAGTGGATTCGCGCTCAGAGCGGCCTGCCTTACGCGGACAAGGAGCCGCTTATAAGGGAGACGGGGCTGCACCGCCTCTCAGCCAACTTCACCGAGAAAGAGGCGGTGAGTGGGGAGGGCATGAGGGATGATGGGTCGTGACTCGTGAGGATGGGTGATCTCATATGGCAAACGGCGTTGCACCGGCTGTGAGCCAACATCTCAGAGCGAGAGGCGGTAAGTGTGGCAGGGATGAGGGTTCTGACCTTATAGCGTACCTGACGTTGAGTGATGGCAGTGCAAGGGACAACATGGCATAGCATGTCATGCTATGTCACGCTGGATTTCCTCCTGCATCCCCTTTTTTTCAATGCTCGGCATCCCCCATGCTCACCGCTTCCAATGCTCACCGCTTCCCATGCTCACCGCTTCCCATGCTCACCGCTTCCCATGCTCACCGCTTCCCATGCTCACCGCTTCCCATGCTCACCGCTTCCCATGCTCACCGCTTCCCATGCTCACCGCTTCCCATGCTCACCGCTTCCCATGCTCACCGCTTCCCATGCTCACCGCTTCCCATGCTCACCGCTTCCAATGCTCACCGCTTCCCATGCTCACCGCTTCCAATGCTCACCGCTTCCCATGCTCACCGCTTCCCATGCTCACCGCTTCCCATGCTCACCGCTTCCCATGCTCACCGCTTCCCATGCTCACCCCTCTCTCCCTTCCCCTGCCGTCCGTCCGCCCACCAGGTGCGGCTGCTCTTGCGTCCAGGCATGTTCCGCTTCACGTTTGTGCGCAACCCCTTCACGCGCGCCCTCTCCGCCTACCTCTCCAAGCTCGCCTACACCTCCTCCATCACCGCCTCGCGCCGCGGCTCCACACAGTCGCCCAGGCAGCTCTGGGCCAAGGTGTGTCATCGTCCTGTCCCCCCTAGTGAGCAATCGCACATGCTCTTCCTGCTTGCTTCATGAAGAGCGACCTACTGCTCACCTCTCCTCCTGCCCCCCGCACCACCCACCAGGCGTTTTTCCGCCACGTGTGGCAGCAGTACGAGGAAGTGCGGGCGCCAGAGGGTCTGGTGACCTACCGCGCGTTCCTGAGGCTTGTGGGCGCACTCATGCACGGCCACAGGGCCACCATAAACCGCCACCTCTCGCCCCAGGTAGGCCATCTTATTGCCCTGTGCGGATGAGTGGTTGTGTGTGTCGGTTAGCGCATTGCATTCAGTCTGTTTCTGTGTAGGCACTGGAGCAGGGGCAGGGGAAGGGGCACAGGGTGACCATGCACCGCCCGCCATCTGGCTCCTCAGGTGGGCACATGGGGGTGAAACGGTGCACATGCAGGGGAGGGGTATATTTGAACCCACACACACCTCGCCCCTTGGATGTGGCATTTTCACCATCCAGCTGTTCTTCTCGGCAGTGAAATCAAGTGCCATGTAGTGCCTTGGTGTGGCATTCTGCCCAATGCTTTTCATTACATTCACCCTTCTCCAATGGATAATATCCATTCCTGATCGCCCCTTCCACACCGCGTCAGGTGGACATATGCAATCTGAACGGAATCAAGTACGACTATGTGGGGCGCTTTGAGCACTTCAAGCCGGAAGCGGAGAGAATGGCGGCTGAGTTTGGGGGGAAGCACCTGGAAGTGTTTGAAATCGACCCCAGCTCGCATGTTGTGACCAACAGGAGTGTCGTCAAGTACTATAACGAGGTCAGTGCTTTGTGTTCCGTTTTGTATGTCGTCTTCCTGCACTTTCATGTGTCATGCGCTGTTGCAATCACCCACCAATTCACAAACGGCTTGTAAGCTTCCAAAATGATTGTGCGTGTGTGTGTCTCGTTTGTGGGATTTGCTTCTAAGCTGCTTATGCGGGTCTACAAAATGGACTTCCATATCCCTCTAAACAACATTTCTTATTGGCCACCAAAAGCCCTTGAGAAGCCTAGGAACATGTCTCTTGCATAGGAGCCTTGAGTTGAGAAGCTTAGGAACGTGTCTCTTGCACAAGCAATCTTCCTTGCCATCGGTGTAGAGACTGCACCCATTCGATGGGCCTGTTGAATTTTCCACTTTTACAAGCTGCTGCACTATCCCCAACGTGCAGTCCCAACGTCAGCCCCAGTGTGGGATTAGACCCAACTGTGTCATTGCCAAAGACATAGGGTATTGTAGCCTTTCATCTACTGGAAGCTCCATTTTCTACAAATGGCAAAAAGCAGGCGTTGAACCTGACGTGAATCGAACACGCAACCTTCTGATCTGGAGTCAGACGCGCTACCATTGCGCCACAGATCCGTGGCAGTTATAAGACATAAATTTTAAGGTTCAGTTGACGGTCTTTCACTCTTCGCCTCTTCACGCAACCACTTCTCGAGTTCACTATCATGATGAAGACCGCCAAGGATGAAGCGTTGCCGATTGGTCACTATCTGTACGTGCATACCGCCCACTCATACACTTATATAATGTCTCGAATCCCTTACCATCCCTTCCTCTTGCACTTCCCTTCCCTTTCCATCCCTTCTTCGCCCAACCCGTTACCTCCCCTCTTCCCCGTCCTCTCCCGTGCTCCAGCTGCCTCGCCTGCGGGGCGGACCTCGGCCTGTCAACGTCCGCGGTCTTTCCGCCCGCCGTCCGCTTCGACGCCGGGAATCGCGGCTCCATCTCCTTCGAGCGACGCAGCACCGATGCGAAGCAGCTCGCTATAGTCACAACCATGGAGAGCCGCTGGGGGCCGTTCTTTGAGAGCACCAACTCGTTCGGGATTCACCGCGACCGCACCATCATGCGCTGCCGAGCCTGCCATGCCAGGCTCGGCACAGTCATGGACGATGGTCCGGGTGTTGGTAGGATGCACTCTGGGTTCGGACCGAGCCAGTTTTCAGAGCGAGTGGGGCGTTATAGGGTTTGGCGCAAGGCAGTAATGTTCCAGGAAGGGGCGTGTGGGGAGGAAGGGGGGACGGTGGAGGGAAAGGGCGCAGTGAAGGGTTGAGAGACGCAGAGTTGGGAGGTGGTTAGCAGAAGGAGATGCATGGGTGTGTATGGGGATGGGGATGCGCATGGGGATGGTGTGGATATGGATGCTGATGGGATGTGCATGGGGGGTGTCACAATGCATCGCACAGTAAGTTGCGAGTGTAAGGCACACCCTTGGTGCGGCCATAAAGACTCGCTTGCTTGGAAGTTGGAACGGAGTGTGATAGTCGCCTCATGACTCATGTGAGACTACATGACCAGCCATGCCATTCTTCAGGCTTGTGCTCACCTGTCTATATGCATGTTATGTTTATGTATGTACATAGGTGCCAGCCATTGCTTTGGGTAGTCTAGTAAGGCATGGTTGCTTGCAGCTGCTTCTTGGCTATGACCAGTGCTTTATATTGAATATTTTGTGATTACACAATGCTCAAGGTGAGCTGCCATAACATCCTAACTAGCGACTAATTTATCAAATACATTACTGCCCCGGATGCTTGCGCATCCAGCGAGTAAAAACTCCTAGTGATACCGGTAGCTTACATACAAAACACTGTTTCAAATAATGTGTTACAGTATCGTGCAACAGCCCTCCCCAGTGTCACCACTGCTTTTACCATCTCCCCCCGACCCTATCTCTGCTTGGATCTTCTCCAGCCGAGCCACAATGGCAGCAAACTCGGGGCGCACTGTCTCGTCACGGTCCCAGCACTCCGCCATAAGCTTTGCCAGCTCCGGGTTGCATGAAGGGGGGATGTCCGGCCGTTGGTTCTGCGGGGTGGAGGGTGTGGAACGGGGATGATGGTTCAGCCCCATGTGGTTCAGCCCCATGTGGTTCAGCCCCATCTGGTTCAGCCCCATGTGGTTCAGCCCCATGTGGTTCAGCCCCATGTGGTTCGAATACATCCCCACGCCCACGCGCCTTGTGCACAACACTGTATGCGTGCTGGATGAAGGTGAGGCCCTTAATATTGTGAGCTCTTGCGGGTTAACTCCATGCGCTTCAACGCATAGCACACACCCTTACTCCTAACCACTACTGTAAACCATTCCCAACCCCTAGCACCACGGTTTAGCCCTCAACCCCAGGTGCTACGCACCTTGTGCACGACGTTGTACGCGAGTTGGATGAAGGTGCGGCCCTTCAAGGGTAGAGCTATTGTCTCTCCGCGCCATGGGCCTTGTTGATTCAAACGCATGTGGGTCCACCCCATGTGGTTCAACACCTCCCCTGAGTCCACGCACCTTGTGCACGACGTTGTGGGCGAGTTGGATGAAGGTGAGCCCCTTGAAGGGCAGCTCGCACGTCACCAGCTCCCACAGCACGATGCCGTAGCTGTACACGTCCACCTTGCGCGTGTACGGCTTGTGGTCTATCACCTGGGAGAAACAGAGATAGGGAGGGGGTCGAGAGGGGGCAGAAAAGGAAGAGGAGTCGTGGTGTGACTTGCAAGTTTTCCACAGCACGATGCCATAGCTGTACACGTCCACCTTGCGCGTGTATGGCTTGTGGTCTATCACCTGATGAAAGAAGAAGATGCCAACCGGATTAATGGTTAGGGTTGTGGCAATGGGAAGGGCGCACGGGAGAAAGGCGGGGCTGTGTGATCGGAGTAAGAGTAAAGGCTTCAGCGGAACTGCTGCTCTCCCCACAGCACGATGCCGAAGCTGTACACGTGCACCTTCCTGGTGTATGGCTTGTGTGCTCTACCATCTCACCTCAGGCGCCATCCATCGCACGGTGCCGGTTTCACACGTCATGTCGCCCGGGTTCTTGGCCTCCATGCGCGCCACACCCACACACAACGCACACTCGTACGAGCATCGCATGTACAGTCGCACATACACACATACATCACATGTGATGTACACTCGCTAGCACATATCATATCTCATATCTCAAGCGCCATCTCACCTCGGGCGCCATCCACCGCACAGTGCCGGTCTCGCACGTCATGTCGCCGGGTTTCTTGGCCTCGGTGCCCACCACTCTTACACGCATGCGATGCATATCCACTCACTCATACCCCACGCGCCACTCTCGACAGCCTCACCTCAGGCGCCATCCATCGCACAGTGCCGGTCTCGCACGTCATGTCCCCCGGGTTCTTGGCCTCGGTGCGAGCGACGCCAAAGTCAGCGATCTTGACACTGCCCTTGTAGCTCACCAAGATGTTGTCTGACTTGAGGTCCCGGTGCACTATGTGGTGCGCGTGCAGGTACCTGCATGCATTGGCGGGGAGAGAAGGAGCATACGAGTGCAAACGGGGAGCAAACGGGAACAGACGGGGCTAGGGCAATGAGTGTGAGCGATCTTGACGCTGCCCTTGTAGCTCACCAGGATGTTGTCCGGATTTAAGTCCCGGTGCACGATGTGGTGCGCATGCAGGTACCTGCGTGGAGGTGGGAAGCATAAGCGGAAGAAGCGGGAGCATATGGAAGCAGATGGGAGCGCATGGGAGCAATGAGTGGCAGCGATCCCGGCTGTAGCTCACCAGGATGTTGTCTGACTTGAGATCCCGGTGCACTATGCAGGTACCTGCATGGGGAAAGGGAAACAACCAGCAGTCCCAAACGGGAACAAACGGTAACGATAGAGAGTGTGAAGCTAGGTGCTCCAGACACTTGTCTTGCAGCACAGGGCAATGCACCGCACGTCCTTCTCCCCCAGGCGCCCTTCTGCCCCCCATGCACAGCAGAGTTTCCAACCCACGTCCCCTCCCCGCATCCCCCCCTCTCCTACTCACTCCAGCCCCCTTACCACGTCCAGCACGTCCCCCCACCATCTCTTCCCCCATGCACCTATCCTGTTAACCTTCCCCCTTCCATCTCCCCCCTTCCCTCCCCCTTTCCCTCCCCCCGTCCAACTCACTCCAGCCCTCGAGCCACATCCAGGGCAATCCGCAGCACGTCCTTCTCCGCCAGGTGCCGCCTGCGCGCCAGATAGTTCCGAAGCGTGCCGCCTGACATGTACTCCGTGACGATCGCCCACAGCGGCGTGCCGGGCGGCGGCTTTGCCTCTGCTGGCGCCACAATGTTGCTGGCGTCTAACGAGGCTCCTATGAACTGGAGGAGGGGGGGAGGGGGAGCAGGGGGGAAAGGCAAGTTGTTCTGGACAGTGCCAAGGGGGGTGGCTTTGCCTCCGCTGGCGCCACGATGCTGCTGGCGTCTTACGACGCTCCTATGAACTGACGGGAGAGATTGAGGGAAAGGGAAGGGGGAGAGGGGGAGGGAAGGAAGGGATGGGCGGTGATTGGTTTACCAAGATGCTGCTGGCGTCCTTTGAGGCTCCTATGAACTGACGTTCGTTGAAGTGAAAGGGGCAAGGGACAGGGGATAGGGGACAGGATACGTTGGGGTAAGAGAAGAGAGGGAGATGGGGGAGGTTGATTGCGTGGCGTTCCAAGGGACCATTGTTGCACACGCAACGAAATGACACACCCTCACAAGCTCGCACACTTCCCCCGCCCCATGCTCTCGCACACTCTCCCTCACTCACTCCCACAATCACACGCATACCTGCACGAGGACACTCTCACAAGCACACACACGCCACACTCTCCCACACTCACGTACCCACCTGCACGATGTTGGGGTGCTTCAGCGTGTGCCACACGTTAATCTCCTACAGGATGCCCGCCTCTATGCTCGCCAGCTCTTTGGGGGGGATGTTAGGGTGCAGCATTACACACACACACACACATGCACTCACACACACATGCACTCACACACACATGCACTCACACACACATGCACTCACACACACATGCACACACACACATGCACTGACTCACTCACTCACATCCTCACCTGCACGATGCTGGGGTGCTTGAGCGTGTGCCACACGGTAATCTCCTGCAGGATGCCCGCCTCTATGCTCGCCAGCTCTTTGGGGGGGATGTTAGGGTGCAGCATTACACACACACACACACATGCACTCACACACACGCACACATGCACTCACACACACATGCACTCACACACACATGCACTCACACACACATGCACTCACACACATGCACACACACACATGCACTGACTCACTCACTCACATCCTCACCTGCACGATGCTGGGGTGCTTGAGCGTGTGCCACACGGTGATCTCCTGCAGGATGCCCGCCTCTATGCTCGCCAGCTCTTTAGCGGGGATGTTGGGCGACACGCTGATCAGCTTCACTGCCACGTCATCCTGCCCGTACAGCCCGTGGTACACTCGCCCAAACGCGCCTGGGGGGAGGGGGGGAGAGGGGGGTGAAAGGGGGGAGGTGGGGGGAAAGGCGGGTCAGAAAGGGGGAAAGAATAGGGGGTTTTGGGGGATTTGCACATGCAGTTCGCGGTACACTTCTCTGTTTCATTTTTGCTGTTTTGATATTTGTTCAAAAAGTACACATTAGAAGTTGAACATCAGGTATGCGTCAGCTAACTAGTAACAGTAGTTTCAAATTAACAGAAAATATATAGAAAAAGAGAACAAAACATCAACAATAACAGGTAAGCCTATAATGCCTATAATGGGCTCCATGGGGGCTGGGGGTGGTACCTGCTGCAAGCTGATTAGTGCAGAGCACCTGCGGTGTACACGTGGCGTGGCGGCAGGCGCATCATTGCCATTGTTGAACGGCACGTGAAGGGGAGGGGGAAGCGGAAGGGAAGGGGAAGGGGAAAGGGAGGGGAAGGAGAAGGGGAAGGGGAGTTGAAGGGTCATGGGAAGGTATGGCATGTCGGAAGGGTGAGTGACACTTGCAAGAGAATGGGAGGGCGAGGCGATGCAGGGGAACGAGCAATTACATGAACCTCTCCTTGAGCCCATTACCCTCCCCCGTTACCTCCCAACCACACCCCATTGCCCCCAAGCATACCCCGTTACCCCCAACCGTACCCCATGACTCACACCATCTCACCGCACCTTTGACATATCCATCTCCCACGCCGGTTTCCCGTCGCCCTTCGCCCCTCCTCCCCCCTCCGTCCCATCGTCGCCACTCTCGATCTCAAAGCACCCCGCCTTCTTCTCCGCTCCTGCCGCTCTCCCTTGTACTTTTAACGAGTCCGCTTCTATCGAGTTCGCATCTAGCGCGTTCGCTTCTAACGAGTTCGCTCCTAACGAGTCCGACGGCGACCGGCACGGAGGGGTCTCCACAAGCAGCGGCTGGTGCTGCTGCCGCCTCTCCGCGTCCCGCTGCGCGCCGTTGCTCTGCGGGCGCACGGGGAGGGACTGATCGGGCTGCGGGCGCGCCTGCGGGGGAAGCGCCTTCTGCGTGACGACCCCCTCCGCCTTGGGGTCGATTCCCTCCGCCTGCGCGAACGTGTTGAAGTCCAGAAGGCCCACACGCGCCACCTTGGTGTCCGCCATTGTTAATTTTATTATAGGGAAAGGAGACAATGTGCGGGTAGAGGCACGGCGGTCCTATGCGAGCTAGGCACACTGACACGCGAAGCTGGCTTTCGCGTTTCACTCCGACAAAAAAAAACTCCCCAAAGAGGGTAACTGTGAGGAGGTAATTTAGTTTGCTTGATTGAGAGGGGTTTGTTCAGTCGACTCAAGGAAAACGCGAAACCTGATATTTCGTTCCTTACGATTATCGTTCCTTACTGCGAGGAGGGGTAATTGCGGAGAGAAGAAGCTGATGATTGCGGAGACAAAAATAAGTTGTTAATTGCTTTCGTTGTTACAACTGGCGGCGAGACTTCGACGACGAGAGCCTGAACTCGTCATGACTGATGCTATGAAGTATCTACCATTTGAGCTGAGTATCATTTCACGAGGCGTCGAACAACTACCGCTTTACTTTGCGAACAACGAAAGGCCCTACAGCACAGATGAGTGGTTGGCGGCAAGTACGCATGGCCCGCTCGATTCGTTCAGTAGTTTTATGTAGCAAGCTAACAACAACAAAAGTCAAGTATTGCATGCACGACAAGAGCTAATGCTGCAGTGCTGAAGAGCAGGAACGGGTGCTGCTGAAGGGACACGCTCCCCTCTCAACTCCACCTTCATGTTTCCGCCAGCCTGAGGTTTTGGCGTGGGCGGGAAGTGGGCAGGCAATTTCATTTCGTTCATACGGAAAGCAGGTTCTCGGATTGGGCAGGAGGGGAAAAAACGGCGCGCCTGCCACTTTACCCGCGAATGCGTTGCGACAACCGCTGTTTCTTTCATCCGGACCGCAGAGATTTCTGCCCTCTTCGTTGCCGCAAAAACGTTTTTCTGCCAGAGTTTGCCGCAGACGCGCCTGAGTTTGGGGATGTGGCGGGTGGGGGTGTGCGGGAGGGAGGTTGGGGGTAGGGAGAGCGGGGTGGGGTGGGGGGTTTGTGCAAAGTGGACGCTCGTGGGTGCCACGTGAGGTTGTGTTTCTGAGGCGCAGTAGCAGCTGCTACTGTAGTAGTACTTCGATTGGCTGAATTTTAGTGCCAACTGGGGATGCGCATAGCGGAAAGAGCTTCTGGATTGGTTGTTTTTCCGTCACATGGCTTTTGGAGTCGCCAACATCTCAGCAAAAACGCATTCGAGCATGGAACATCCTTTTGAACAAGGCACTGGTCGCCCCAACGCGACAGTAACCCTTTTTGCGAATTTCGTCATTGAGCCTCGTAGGGCAGTGACGAAGGCTGATAGATGCACCCACGTTCCACAGCTTTTGTACTTAGGTCGCCCCACAAGTACGGATACGACAAAGAACGGCGCGGTAAGCAGAAATATGCGACGTCCAACCAAGTGCTGTTGTGGGTTCAATACACGCACCCGATTCGCTGCGAATGAAATCAAAGAATCGATGCTCTTCGTGCATCATCGCGAATCTTCGCTGCTGGTCGACCAATATCCCTTCCTACATTCCCGGAGCGATTTGATTTGCAATATTGTGGTTTTGTGTGTTACCTAACGAAAACCGTCGCATACAAGTGGCGAAGCCAAATGTTCGACCAAACAAGTGACCAAACGCTTGTTCATAAGGATGTTCCACGCTCTTACCAATCGCGGATCTTCGCCGAGCAATTCCGGTGTGGGAAAGTGAGAGGGGGGTCTCTACTCGATACTGAAACACCGCTACAAGATACGGCAATATGTCCAGGAATAAATAAAGAAATGCACACTGCGCTGCAGTATCTTGTTTGATCACTGCGTCACCCCTATTCATAGGACTGCGCCAACCTGTCCCTGACAACTAACCAGAAGTTGAAAACAAGCTGCATCAGTCCACGTGTTGAACTTGTATCTGTCAGCAGCAAACAATCTTGATAAAGTTCAAGGCGCAGACAGCCGCTCGATCTATTTCTGCTGCAAGATCTGCACCTCACATCAGCCTTACGTTCAATATCAGCCATCCGATCGGAAATGCTATACAGCACGGCCCAGTTTCCTGGAGTTGCTGTCATCCTCTCCCTCCCTCCCCTCACCTCACCCTGGTTCCAGGGCTTCATTGAGCCGCTCTTGGGTCTTGAAAAACAGCATCTTTACCTTCATCTTCACTTTACAACACCCTAGATTCCCTCATTCTGCTCTTGCATGCTTGATCTGTAAACTAGAACCCTTCCAGTTTCTGAGCCATTGATCTGTCGTCATCCCCGCCACCTTCCTCGTTAGCAGCGGTTGGTGATTAGGACGGTATGGTGGCGACGGCATGGTCGAGATAAATCATCGCCCATTCTCTTGGGGCTCCGATTGACCTACACGCTTCGATAGGACTTGCATTCTCTTCTCTTCCTCTGCCTGTAAAGTAGGTAGTGTTTTAGTCAATGGCCTCCACGGTTAGCATTTCGTCTGGGACAATCTTAACCGTTGCTGAATCTAGCAGCCTAGGAAGTGTCGCTCATTATTCGAACCAACATCTAGACAGCAACAGCTTCGTCGTCAAACCCGTACGAAGACAAGCATTTCGCTTACATTCTTCGCGGATCCCATTCTCTTCGTCGCCGATTCGATCGCCTACATCGATGGCGAAGGACCAAGCCGTCGGCGGCCGGTCGACGTCAGTCAACGGGTGCGCGACTCACGCTAACCCTCCTCCGATCGCGCAAACGGCGAAATCCGGCTCCTCTGCGGCTATGGACAGCACGGAGGCGGTTGAGGCGAGGTCGTCACTGTCCACCAAGTCCGTCCATGCAGGTGCGCTCGCTACTGGTGATCATTAAACACTTTTTGTGATATTGCACTACGAGAACTGTAAACCGTTTTTTATCAGCTCTTTAGTTTCTTTCTGAATGAGGGTGCTGTCCACAACTTAGATCCCTCATTCCACAACCACGCGTTGAACTTGGAGCGTGGAGGGAGAGAGAATCAGCTGAACGGGTTGATTGTATCCAATCGTGAGCTGAAAGGCATCTTATTCTTCCTGCTATTCCGTGAGTGCAGGGGAACGACCAGGACGTCCGCTGGTGGTGGACTCGCTGACGACGCCAATCGTGCAGACGTCCACCTACTTCTTTAAGGACACCGCGGACCTCATCGAGTTCGTCGTACGTGCTCTCGCCGCCCCCGCATTTCCCGCGTTCGTCACACCTGTCACACCTGTCGCATCCTGTTTTTGGTGGTGTTTCCTCCGGCTTTTAGGCTCTTCGCGTGTGTCTTTGATTTGTATGTTATTAGAAAGTGTAGAGAGAGCATAAGTCAAACGGTATAGAAAGAGCGCGATTCAACTCCGATGACCCGTGATTCACATCAGCCGTTCATTTCCCGTCGTGATTCTGTCGGTGCAGGAAGGGAGGAAGACGAGCTTTGAGTATGGCCGGTACGGCAACCCAACAACCGACACCGTGGAGCGCAAGATCAGGTCAGCACAAACCTCCGTTGGCTGATTCTCGCTCCCTGCTCCTGCGTCATTTACTCATGAGATCGTGATGACGACATCTCCGAACAATATTGCCGTTATCACCTGTAATCTACCCTCTGTAAGGTACCAAGCTACGTGCGAAAAACATTCGGACTGCGCACTCGTTTCTCAACCCGTCCCTCCCCGCTCTCGTTCCAACGTCTGTCTACGCCCCCCGTCCCCCGTTCTCCCCACAGCGAGCTGGAGCAGGCGGAGGCGACGCTGCTGTCCTCGTCCGGCATGTGCGCGGCGACGACGATGCTGCTGGCGCTCGTGCCGGCGGGCGGGCACATCGTCACCACCACCGACTGCTACCGCCGCACGCGCCAGTTCATCCAAACAATGCTTCCCAAAATGGGCATCACCGTGAGTGCCGCTAAGGGGGTGCGGGGATGCGGGAGGGTTCGGTGAGGAGAAGGGGAAGGGGGGGAGGGAAGAGGGGTGGAGAGCGGGTGTAGCTTGCGGATTACTTGCGATGCTGTGAACTCGCATTTCTACCTAAGTCTCGCTTCCGTTTGGCGTCCCTTGACCTCCCGGTTTCCCCTTTTTCCTTCCATCAACTTTCGCGTAGTGATCTCTCCCCTCCGATCCCGTCTCACCTCTCACTCTCTCTCTTTTCTTCCCCTCCATCCCCACCCTTTCAACTCTCCCTCCCGCCCCCCTTCCTTCCCCCTTTTTCCCCCTTCCCCTTAACCGCATGGCAGACGACGGTGATCGACCCGGCTGACATGGGCGCACTGGAGAAGGCTCTCGACGAGAATGAGGTGCGTACCCGTGCAAGCATGACCCATCACCCATCATCCTTTAATACAGCCACAAACATGACCAGAGGTACGGTGATTAGTGCGCCTGTAAGCCCTACCGTAATCACATAGGCATATTGTGGCGAGAGTTTTATCGTTGGCTTGATTCTTCTCAAATGTCGTGCACACGTTTTGCACTTGAGAAGCCAAAAGTCGTTCAAACGAACTGATATGAAATTCAGACTGAACCAACACAAGACAGTACCACACGCGGAAAAAAACGTCCAAGTCGTTCTTATGCACTTCCCTCGTCTCTGAACCGTCCTCCTCCCATCGTCGTCCTCCCGCGCTCCCGTCTCTCATCCCCACTGCACTACCCCACCCCTCTCTCCTCTCCCCGCCTCCCCATTCCCACCCCTCTCCCCTCTCCTCCCCTTTCCCCCCCCCGCCACTCCTCTCAATCCTCACCCCCTCCCCCCGCTACTAGGTGTCACTCTTTTTCTCGGAGTCCCCAACGAACCCGTACCTGCGGTGCATTGACGTGCCGCTGGTGAGCGGGCTGTGCCGTGCGAGGGGCGCGCTGGTGTGCATAGACGGCACCTTCGCCACGCCCATCAACCAGCACGTGCTGCCTCTGGGCGCCGACCTCGTGCTGCACTCCGGCACCAAGTACCTCGCCGGCCACAACGACGTGAGTCCACTGTGATATGATGCTGTCTTGGTGATTCCGGTGTGGGGGGATTGGGATGTGGGAAGTCCATGAGGCACGTGTGGCCATGACCTCGTGCTGCATTCCGGCACCAAGTACCTCGCTGGGCACAATGATGTGAGTCCTCTGTGATTTGAAGCCGTCGTGATCTGGGTGGGTGGGGGGGGTGGGGGATGGGGGATTTTTCGGAGGGAAGTTCAGTGAGGCACGTTTGCGGCGGACTTGTGCTGCACTCGGGCACCAAGTACATTGCGAGGCACAATGACGTGAGTCATGTTCAATGTTCGGAAGGGAGGGGGGGGGGTTGGGGGGGAGGCGACGGGGGAGGAGCTGGCCCACTCTCGAACTTCGAACATGTTCGGGTTCGCCCCGAACATGCAGTGTTCGCCCCCCTATCACGAACCTCGAACACCCCTAATCCCCCCAAAAAAAAAGGGCGAATTGAACATGTTCAGTTCGGCCCCTTCAAATGTTCGTGCAGGGCGAACCGAACATGTTTGGTGTTCGCCCGTTGCTCATGTCTACCCCCACCCCCCCATTCGTCCCACATGCCCCCCCTTGCAGCCCTTGCACTAGCACATGCATTCAGAGTCCAGTCTGGACTCACCGTCTCTTATCAACAAATCATACTCCTTTCAATGACAATTTTCTTAACCGCTGCCATCCCATCTCATGCCATGCCATGCCATGCGGATGTGGTGCTGAACGGCACAGGTGCTGGCGGGGACCATAAGTGGCAAGGCGGAGCTGGTGCAGAAGGTTCGAGCGCTGCACAACGTGCTGGGGGGAGTTGTTGACCCGGTGAGTCACTCTGCATGCACTCTGCTCTGCACTCCGCTCCGCACTGCACTGTGCCCTGCCTCTGCTACCTTTGTGCCTGCCCCTGTATATCACTCTCTGCCCGTCGCCCCTACCCATCGCCCCTACCCATCAATCCTCCCACGCCCCCCAAGCAAGCGGCATTTCTCCTCCTGGGATCCCCAACATCCTGTGTCTTGCATGCCCACGACAGAGCATCACCCCTCCCTCTTCGTCCCCCTCGCCGCCCGTGTGCCCATCGCAGCACGCGTCCTACCTCATCCTACGTGGCCTCAAGACCCTTGCTCTCAGGGTGCGGCGGCAGAACGAGACCGCTATGGAGCTTGCCCTCGCACTCTCCACCCACCCCAAGGTGTGCCGCTCTCTCTCCCGCTTGTTGGGGCACTGCAAACCCATGCCAAGCTGTGTTTCTCCGTTCCTGTTGCCTTATCCCCGTGTGACGTGTCTCTCCCCCATGGAGCTCGCCCTCACACTCTCCACCCATCCCAAAGGTGCGCTGCTCCTTCCTCGCCCAGCCTTATCGTCTCTCCTCTCCTGTGCCATGCCTCCTGCCCCTCCTCCCTCTCCCCTTTTTCCCCACTCACACACCACCCGGTTCATGCTGCATTAACACAACCTGTGCCCGCCCTCCCCCCCGGAACATTGCATCACCGCTCCCCCTTCTGCCCGCCGCTTCCCCGTTGCACTCGCCTCTTCCCCCCCCAGGTCGTGAGAGTGCACTACCCAGGCCTGCCTTCTCACCCCGAGCACCAAATCGCGCTGGAGCAGATGCACGGCGGCTATGGGGGCGTTGTCAGCTTCGAGGTGAGTGGGTGTCGGTGAAGGGGAAGGGAGGGTTGGGGGTGGGAGTTGGGGTGATGGCGGAGCTGCGAGTATAAGGGGGAGTGGAGCAGATGCACGGCAGCTATGGGGGCGTTGTCAGCTTCGAGGTGAGGCACAGTGCACGTGGGGGTCATGGGACGAGAATGGGGGCAATGGTGGGAGTTGGGGAGAAGGGAGTGCAGCAAGTACGGTACTAGAGGGGTTGCAGCCGATGTTCGGCAGGTGTGTGGGTGTCATTAGCTTCCGTGCGAGTGGATGGAGAGGGGTTCAGCAGGGAGTGTGGAGTCATGGAGAGGATGATAGTGGTCCAGGGTCCAGGTTGGTGTCTTGTGCCCCTGTCTCTCGTGTTGCCCTCATCACGCAAATCCCCACCATTTATGGTGGCACGGTGGCACGGTGTGGGGTGGCAGGTGGACGGGGATCTGGAGCGCACGTCACGCTTCATTGACGCACTCGACATTCCCTACATCGCCCCCTCGCTGGGAGGCGTGGAGTCACTCGTTGAGCAGCCCACCATCATCTCCTACTGGTATGCCTCCATGCCTCCCCCCCTTGCTCCTCTGGTGTGTTAATTCCCTGAAAGGGGCCTCCATGTTCAGACACCTCACCACACCCTTACCAGTGCAGGTTCCTATAACTCCCTTCACCTTCGTTCCCCTATCCCCTCTCCTCCCTGGGCTCTGGCTGGCTGGTACACTCGTGCAGGGACTACGGGCCAGAGGAGAGGGCAAGGCTGGGCATCAAGGACAACCTGGTCAGGTTCAGTGCAGGGATTGAGGACAGCTGTGACATCATCGCTGATGTCATGCAGGCTCTTGATAAGATCTAAGATGTGTGCCGGGTCTTACACACATCAGAACGCTAAGCTCATGCTTGCAGTAGGGGGTTTTGCCAGTCTGATGAGCGGCTTTACAAGCTAAGGCCACTGCCAGGCAAAGAGCGGCAAGAGGATGCAGCATTTGGGTTGGCGCTTGTTTCTCCTTCATACCTCCTAGATAGTAAGGCTTCAGATATCAGTGAAGGTTACTTGAGGGCAGGACGTGAACTGTAGAATATGTTTATTTGCAATTATTGATACTAGCACCCGCTTGCACACTCAAACGACCAGAATCAAACACCGTCGAGCCACTTCTCCGTCACACCTGGCAAATATGGCGTCAGCACAGGTCTTCGTACCGCCACGTCACACAGATGCTCGTCCACTTCGCGCGCCAGATACACCCAGCCGATCCGAATGTCATCTTTCAACACAACTGTTCACGCGCTTACGTGGCATTCCATCGGAAATCCGCATCTTCGCGACTCGGCCGTTCATTCTGAGTCTCTTATTTCTCTCCCCTCCAGATGTATTCAGTACATGTGAGTGTGACACACTTCGCTCGCATTTCTCACTGCTCTCTAGCGAGTGACCTGGTCTGGTCTTGTCCTCCTCACCTCAGCCTTCACCAGTTTGTCACCTTCACCTGGCCTCATTCTTCCGCATTTCCTCGTAGAAGTCGGAGGGTCCAGCACCGCCACCGACCAACATTCCATCGCCCACCGATCGCTTGCCTAGCACATTTGCTCCTAATCCGTTTGGAGTGACTGCCGCCACCGTCAAGCAGCCATGGCTACGCTAGCTTGCCCTAAGGCGTCTATCGCCTTCGCTGCTCGCACCAATGCCGCTTCTCGACCAGCGGCATCTGCGGCGGTTTCTGCGGCTCCCGTGAGCAGCAGAAGCGCTCGCCTTCCCGGATCCCTCTCCGCTTCCGCCGCCGCCGCTGCCGCTGCGTGCTCCGGCAAAGAGCTCTTCTCCACTCCTGTAGTGCACTCACGCGGCGGCGCAAGTCGCGCCGTCTCTCGCGGCGCTGTTCGGGTGGACGCCAGCGTGGCGCGGCGCAAGGTGCTGATCGTTAACACTAACGGCGGAGGCCACGCGGTGATTGGCTTCGCGCTGGCCCGTCAGTTAGCGACTGCCGGCCACTCGGTGACGATCATGACCGTTGGCGATCGCAACTCCGACAAGATGAAGAAGCTGCCGTTCTCGCGCTTCTCGGTGGGTTCTGTGCTCTGTACTGGGATACCCTCTCGTCATACTCCATAGTAGTCAGAGCTCGGAAACCGCACCATTTTCAGCGTGTTTGACTCACTTATTCCCACTACACGGCTCTCACTTTCCTTTTACCCCCTTCCCCATTGTCCTTTTTCCCCATTTCCATCCGCTTCCTCTTTCCCCTCCCTTTCGTTTCTCCCGCTTCGTCCCCGCGCTTTCTCTCACAGGAACTCCGCGCGGAGGGCGTGCGCACGGAGTGGGGCGACCCGGCGCGGCTGTCCGCCGTGTTCGGCGCGACCGGGGGCTTCGACGTGGTGCTGGACAACAACGGCAAGGACCTCGATACCGTCAAGTGAGTGAGGGTGTGGTGTGACCGTTGGGTTTGAAGTGCGTCTCAATAGTCGACTCGAGAGAGATTCCACGTGGTGCTGGATAATAACGGCAAGGACCTCGATACCGTCAAGTGAGTGACTATAGAGGGGGTGAATGTAGCGCTTCACTCGACCAGACCTCTACACTGTGAAGCGTGCGTGGGCTACCGAGGCTGGCTGTATCGAGGTTGCTCGAGAAGCGGGATGCCAAACAGTAACGACGGATGTTGTGGGTGCCAGAGTACTTCCAGAACCTTCCAGAACCTTCCAAAGTGAAACCACGTGGAAACGGGCGTTTCCTAAGCAGTCAAAGAGGGGATCCTGCGGAGAATTGGGGGCATCATTCCCTGCAAGCGCCATGTCAATGTGACCATTCGTGCTTCCCCATGCCCCCGCAATTCCCCCTTGAGCCGCTCAGCGTGTTTTAAGACGCCTCAAAAGTACGTCACATCTGTCACCAGATAGAGATCACCGCTTTGCTTGTGCTCCTCCCCTCTTCTCCTTCTTCCCGTTCTCCCCCCTTCTTCCCGCCCCCCCACCCCCCCCCCCACCCACCCCTCTTCCCCCCCGCAGGCCCGTGGCGGACTGGGCGAGCGCGGCGGGCGTGCGGCAGTTCCTGTTCATCAGCAGCGCGGGCATCTACACGCCCTCCTCAGAGCCCCCTCACGTCGAAGGGGTGAGAATAACGCGATTGCGGAATGATGGATGAATTAGTAAGAAAGAGTGTTCGACTCCTGTTTTGGCTTCAGGGTTGATTGTCCTCTTTAGCAGCGCGGGCATCTACACGCCCTCGTCCGAGCCCCCGCACGTCGAAGGGGTGAGCGCACTACGTCACGCGATGGTGGTGTGATAAATCAAGTAGAAAAAACATTACACATGCAGGCAATTGAGCGCGCAATTCAAGCACTATGTTACGCCATGCAATCATGCACATCCCACCCCACATCTGCCGTACCCCATCTCACCCCACTCCGCCGCATCCCACCCCACCTGGCCCCACTCCTCAGGACGCGGTGAAGGAGAGTTCAGGGCACGCGCAGGTAGAGAAGTACCTGGCGGGCAAGGCGTGGGGCGCATGCAATGGCGCCAGACAAGCATGCCTATCCCTTGCCTCATGCTGCCGTACCTCACTCCACCCCACCCCACTCCACCCCAACTTGCCCCATCTCACCTCGCTGCTCCACTCAGGACGCGGTGAAGGAGAGCTCAGGGTACGCACAGGTGGAGAAGTACCTGGCGGGCAAGGCGTGGGGCGCATGCAATGGCGCCAGACAAGCACGCTTATCCCATGCCACATGCTGCCATACCTCACCCCACCTCACCTCACCCCACCCCACCTGGCCCCACTCCTCAGGACGCAGTGAAGGAGAGCTCAGGGCATGCACAGGTGGAGAAGTACCTGGCGGGCAAGGCGTGGGGCGACGGGTGGGCGGCGTTCCGCCCGCAGTACATCACGGGGTCGGGCAACAACAAGGACTGCGAGGAGTGGTTCTTCGACCGTGAGTGGCGCATGGGTTGCTGGACTGATGAATGGGGTAAACTCTCACTGTGAGACGTGTGGGGGGGCTACTGCAGTGCATCATGCGATCGAGCAGCAGCAGGGACTGCTCCAGTGGTTAGTCCACAAGGAGTTGACTTTTGAGTCGACTCAAAAGTCAACTCGCTACAATGTCAAACGATCGAGCAGCAGCAGGGACTGCTCCAGTGGTTAGTCCATAAGGATTGTGGTGCAGCAGGACAGTTGTTGCCTCTCGCCTTGCTCTTCTCTTTATGCCCTTGGAACCTGCATGTACATGTGCATGTGCAGGTATTTTGCAGGGCCTACATATGAGGCACCTAAATCTTCTCCTCTTCCCCATGGTCCGTGCACCTGCACCTGCATGCGCATGTGATGGGCAGGCATCGTGAGGGGGCGACCGGTGCCGATCCCATCGCCGGGCATCCAGCTGACGGTGGTGGCGCACGTGGACGACATAGCGCGCATGATTGCCCTCGCCATTGACTACCCGCAGGTCCGCTCGCCCCCTCAGGTTGTTCGCACTCACACACCACATGCTCTCCCAGCCCCTTCCCCTGCGCCCGCTACCCTTCCTTCGTTCCCTTGAATGATCATCTGACGGTCTGACCTCTGCCCATGCCTCCAAACCCGCCATTTTCACCCCGCTCCACAACCCCTGCAGGACGCCAAGGGCCAGATCTTCAACGCTGTGGGCGGCAGAGCGGTGACGTTTGACGGGCTCGCTCGCATGTGCGCCAATGCTGCTGGCCGCGCCTCATCGCTCAAGATCGTGCATTATGATCCCAAGGCCGCTGGGGTAGATGCCAAGAAGGCGTTTCCCTTCAGGAACATGGTGAGACTCCTCAGAGGACTTTGTATTCACATGCTTGTTTGTGGCATGATGAGCTTTTCAGCTGGCACTATTAGGTTCTTAAATATGGAAAACTGCTCTTTCTAGCCCCTGTTTCACCTTACTCCCTCGTCCTCCTACATTCGTCCTCCCTGCACTCGCAGCACTTCTATTCGGAGCCCCGCAATGCGCGGGAGAGGCTGGGCTTTAAGAGCTTCACGGATCTGCAGACTGTTCTGAACCAGCGGTACATTGACTACGTGGCGGCTGGGAGGGACAAGAAGGACGCCAAGTTTGAGGTGGATGATAAGATCCTAGCTTCCAAGTAGACTGCCAGAAATGCTGATTAATATTTGTTGTAATACCATGGAAATATGAGTTTTTAGGAATGTTTTGCAAGTAATACGGTACCAGAAGGAAATGAAGGAGCAGCTGTGTGAAAAGAATGGCCATGTTCTCCAAGCCCTGTACCCCAGGTGGCATGAGTGTTGGGCTGAGAAAAGCCCTTAGGATCTTTTCAAGGCTAAGACCCTGAGTAGGAATGTTGTAATTGCGGAAGCGTTTTAATGAACTATTGAACCAACTTGCACTAGTGTGTGAGAGCAAGAGATTGATTATAGCAAAGTAATACAAAGCTTTTATATGATTACAGACAGGGAATATGAAAAGATGCAACCAGCTGTTTTACTGTTGCTGTTGCGGTTCGATACAGCGACGACTCGGACAACTGCTCAATACCGAGTCTGTTGTTTGTCCTTGCTGTCGCGCTGCCTTTTGTCAAGTCAAAGGTCGGCGACCTTTGACCTTCGCGTAACCTCCAGCCAGGGTCCTCGACATCAGACATTTTTGTCTGTTTGTCTTTGAAATCAGACGATTTTTTTTCAGTTAATCTGATTTTCCAACATTTCATTTCGATTTCATCTGATTGGTTAGAAATCATTTTTTAGTGTCATCTGATGCATCAGAAACGTATTTCTGATTCATCTGAAACCGAATCATGTTATAGCCTACAGTTTCAAGCATTTCCTGATTTGATATGTCAATCGGACCTGCTATGATTGGTCGAAGGTCGTAGGTATCTCCTGTGATTGGCTGGTCCTTAGTCGAATCTGCTGTGATTGCCGCTGTTCCACATTCTTTCTCGCGCTGTACGAACCTTGCTCATTGTGCAGAGCACGTCGAGCCAGAGCTGGCGCACTTCCTCTAGGCTCTAGCACAGTCAATTGACTTTACCTTTTGTCATAGGCTGCAGCAGCACGCAATGGAAGAACTAGCATTTCACCATGAATCACCAAAACCACGTCATCCCACGTAATGGTCACGCAAGCTAGTGTAGTGGTCACGCTAGGTGTCAGATTCATCCTGGTTCTTGAACAAGACTGTCGGATCTGGATCTGAACTTTGCTTACTTGGCAACTAGAACAAGAATTTACAGCAGTCGCATTTTGATTGGTCAGACAAGCTACTAAGATATTTCTGATGCATCAGACACAGGAAATCGAAAATATCTGACGCGTCAGACGGGCCCGGAGGGCCCGTCTGACGCATCAGGTGCCCTCAAAACCTAGCGAGGACCCTGCCTCCAGCTGTTACGTTTTGTCAACCTCCTTGGTTGACTCGCTGTTGCTTCACTGTAACGTGCCTCGTTTGCAGTTTGATGTTCCGACACATCAGAAGCGTTAAATTACTTGTTTCCAACACTCCCCTTCGCTTCTGGAGTGTCGTTGCTGGTGACGTGGCCTTGTCCAGTCAGCAACATGCAGTACTCGAACTTCTGCTTTCCGAGTTTCTTGGTCAAATAATCAGCTGCCATTTCGGATGTGGGGCAGTAGGACAGCTCGAGTCTCCCCTTCTCGATCTCGTCCTTCACGAAGAAATATCGCAGGGCGATGTGCTTCGTTCGATTCGCGAACCCGCTCTTGTTCGCTATGCGGATTGCTGATTGGTTGTCGCAGAACAGGGAGAAGTTGGGTAATTGAGCTAGCTTCGCTTCTTCCAGTAGTTCGCGGAGATACAGCCCTTCCTTGGTGGCTGAGCAGAGTGCGATATATTCTGCTTCAGCTGAGGAGAGAGCAATTAGCTCTTGCTTGCTCGACTGCCACGAGATGGGGCCGATAGGCTCGAGTCGGTAGATGTAGCCAGTGCGTGATCGCCTATTGTCGGAGTCGCCGGCGTGGTCAGCATCCACGTAGCCGATCAGTTTGGGCGTCGTAATTCCGGTTTTGTGGTAGGCTAGGCCGATCGTCGGGGTGCTGACGAGGTAGTGAAGTGCGCGATCGAGTTCCGCCATATGATCCGCTTCAGGTTTCTTGAGGTAGGTGGCGAGTTGGCTTGCTGAGTATGATAGATCCGGTCGGCAGGTAACTGCTGCGAAGAGTAGACAGCCTAACTTTCGTTGGTAGTCGTGAATGCCGGCGGGTTTGAGCAGAGCGGAGTTTTCCTTGCGACTTCCGTCGGTGTAACGGTATGGTGTGGTGATGGTGGTTGGAGTTAGTCCGAAGCGCTTGGCGATGGTGTCGGCGTATTTTGCGGCGCTGAGGTAGATTGCGTTTTCCCCGTCTTGTATGTTGAGTCCCAGGTACTGTGTCACGGTAGACGAGACGGTGAGCGTGAGGTCTCGCTGCAGCTCCCCTTCAAACCAGGTTGTTATGCCGTTAGTGGAGCCTATGTAGAGTAGGTTGTCTACGTAGACGATGAGCAGGATGTAGTCGGCGCCTTTAGTGAGTCGGTACATTCCTTGGTCGTGCGGCAGTTGACGAAATCCAATGCGAACCAGTCGGGCGTGTAGGTACTGCTGCCACAGTCTTGGAGCTTGCTTGATGTTGTATAGGGACTTCAGCAATTGACAGACTTGGTTGGGGTCTGCGTTAGAGCCGTGCGGTTGCTCGACGAAGATCTCAGCGTCGACGGGAGCGTAGAGAAAAGCGTTGGCGACATCGATTTGTCGAAGCTTCTTCCGCTTCATGGCGGCTATCGCAAGGAGAATTCGGAGGGAGGTGTGTCGACTAACCGGTGCGAAGGTTTCGGTGAAGTCTCGTCCATGCTCTTGGTCGAAGCCGCGTACGACCCAGCGCGCCTTAAACTTGTCGATCGTTCCGTCAGCTTTTGTCTTCACGCGGAAGACCCATTTTCCCGTGAGAATGGTTTTGTTGCGTGCCACTCCGATAGGTACGACTTTCCAGGTGTTGTGTTCTTCCAGCGCCTTTAACTCTCTGTCCATGGCTTCGCGCCATTTTTCCCTGTGCCCCCCCCCCAGAGCATGCTGAACTGTGGCAGGCTCCTTAGGTGGTGGTGCTCCGTGGACGGCGGTGACGAGTCCCAGTATCTGCAGCCCACTCTGTGTGTAGCGAGGGAGAGTTGCGTCCTCGGGATAGACTGCTTCGTCTCATGCTTCTGGATCAGGTAAGAAATTTGGGCCTATGCGTTCTGAAACGTTAGTGTCGACTGGCTGGGGTGTAACGTAACCGTTGTCGGCAAGGTCGTAGTAGACTTCGGCGTTGATGCTTTCGCGAGGGTTGTCGTCGTCCATTGGTACGTCAACTGAACAGTAAGGAAGAGGTCCGGCTTCTTCCGATGCTCTGTCCACGTTCTGCTCCTCCCAGTCAGCCTCATCTGCTGCCGAAGCGAAGGCTCGGTCACTACGGAATCCTCCTGTGACGTCTCGTTCTGCGTTCAGGTTGTCCAGGTACGTCTGAAGGGTGAGTCGCTCGTAGAAGTTGGATCTTGCCTTGTTGCTCTCATACCATGTTGGGCTCAGAAAAGCCCTTAGGATCTTTTCAAGGCTAAGACCCTGAATAGGAATGTTTTAATTGCGGAAGCGTTTTAATCAACTATTGAACCAACTTGCACTAGTGTGTGAGAGCAAGAGATTGTCAAATGATATATATGCTATATATGTTTAGGCTGTAGTGGGGTAGCTAACATGGGGTATAGCCCCATTAGGGTTTCACATTTGTACCCAACTCTGTTCTAGTCCATTCATTCCTGCCTAGACTTCTCACATGGTATTCAGAGCAGTAGGTCCGTAGGACCGTCTTTTTTTTCGGGCCCACCTACCGCTACCCCACGACTGTGACTGTGACTGTGACTGTGACTGTGCCTAGGACGTGTTGCGCTGCGCGCACTGTCTGCCTGCTGCCTACTGTCTGCTGTCTGAGCTGTCTGCTGCTGCTTCGCGCGCGCAGACCTAATTCCCGCACGCTGCCCCCCCCTTTTGCCCCGCGCGTCGCCCTCCCTGCTCGCGTCGCGCCTCGGCAGCCGCGTCGCGCCCCGCGCACCGCCCGCGTCGAGCCCGCGCAGCGCGCGCGCGGCCCGCAGCTGCCCCGCGCACCGCCCGCGCAGCCCGCGTCGAGCCCCCGCAGCGCGCGCGCGGCCCGCAACTGCCCCGCGTACCGTCCGCGCAGCCCGCGCCGCGCTCTGACAGCCCGCGCGCAGCCCTTCGCAGCCACGCGCGCCGCCCTACCTGCTCGAGCCGCGCCTCTGCAGCCTGCGCGCGGCCTGCTACTGCCCCGCGTGCTGCCTGAGCTGCCTGCGCCTGCTTTGCGCGCCGCCCTTGCTGCTCGCGCCCTTTGCCTGCTGCCTGTTGCCTACTGCCTTTGCCTACTGCCTTTGCCTGCACTGCGATTATGGCGACACTTAATGTTCTCGCGTTTGAGCCTGACGGTCGCCCGATAGAGTTCGCCACGTGGCTCGACGATCTCCAACTGTTTCTTCTGACTGATGCCAAAGACGGCGTTTCACTGTTCGATTACGCGTCTGGCACTGCCGTTGCTCCTGCTGACGATGCTACCGCTCTCGCACGCTCACAGTGGCAGACTCGCGATGCTGCTGCACGCCTAGCTATTCGAAATCATCTGCCGATCACTGAGCGCACGCATTTCAGCCAGCACAAAACTGCTAAGGCACTGTATGACGCTGTAGTTGCGCGCTACTCCTCCCAGGCCACTGCAGCCCTAGGTCGGCTCATGCTACCCTACCTTCTCCCAGACCTGTCCTCGTTTACCACTGCTGAGGACCTCATTTCTCACCTTCGCGCTAGTGACACTCGCTTTCGTGCCGCCCTTCCAGCCGAGTTCTGCGCCGAGAACCCCCCCCCGATGTACTTTACTCTCTATTTCCTCGTCACCCGCCTCCCTGACACTCTTAGCTCCATCAGGGACCACTTCCTAGCCCTAGACCCTACCACTCTCACTGTCGCCGACTTTGAGAAGCACCTCCTAGCAGCAGAGAAGAACATCCTCGCTGTAGGTGCTGCTCGTGGTACTCCTCGCACTCCCCTTTTTGAGGGGTGCTCCCCCTCCCCTCTTACCCCCTCCTACGCCTCCGCAGC